TTCCCGCGCGCCTCGCTCCGCGCTTTCCTGCGCTGCTTCCCCCGCACTCCCTGTTGGTTAATTTCAGACGCTCAGTGCGCTAATTGGAAAACTGGAGTCTATTTAGAACAGCTCGGGCACGTGAACCCATTTCCAACTGCAAATCTCATGAAATCTAAATAAAGATCAAGCATTTCTATGAAAATTGAGCGTGTTCCAAGTTGAGATGTGCTGTAAGCTGTAAAACACGGGCTGCACTTAGAAAGTTCAGTACTAGGACCCAGCGCTGATTGCGACGCCGATGGTGGCGAACAACGTGGACCGGCTGCTCATTAATAAAGTTTATATCGGTTGCTCGTCGAAATAACATCTGGAATATAATGGATAAAATAAACATATATATACACAAAGTTTTTAATTACTGTCACCTGACTATTTTCGTAATGTAGCTACTAGAAAGTTAAAACTACGCCGGTGGTGGCTCCTGCTTCATTGCTTCCTTTATTAGAGAGAGAGAGAGAGAGAGAGCACGTCAAGGGGCAGCGGAGGGAGAGAGGAGGGGTGGGGAGAGAATCCCAAGCAGGTTCCACACTCAGCCCAGAACCCAGTGCGGGGCTCAATCCCACAACCATGGGACCATGACCCCGGCCCAAATCAAGAGTCCGAAGCTCAACCCAACTGCGCCACCCAGGCGCCCGGCCCACTACCTTTCCGTTGGGCGGTGCTGCTCTGGACACTCCCACGTGGATCAGGACACAGGGAGCCCTATCCCCACCTTGATATTCTCTGAAAGCGGAGGCTGGGGGAGGAGGGGAGACCGAGGCCTCCAGACCACTCCGCTGGTGGCCAGCAGGCCCATTTGTCCTATCGCGTAATGGATTCCAAGGATGTCTGGTGGACAGTGAGCCAAGAGCAGGCTGATCCTGGCTGAGACCCAAGTGCCCTCACTGAAGGTGACGCTGCCTCCACGCTTGGCTACGGGCGTTATGAGCCAAGACCACGGAAACCTTGCCTGTGGCTGCGACAGGCTATATGCAGGGTCCAGGGGACCACCGAGAGCCTGAATCCCACCATTACTCTCCAGCGCCGTCTGGTCTCTGGGGAAAGGAAGAGTGGCCAACGAAGTGGAGTTGGGCAAGTACAGCTGGCTTCTTGGCGCACCAGCTTTATGCCCTGCAAGTCTGCCTCTTCACCCAAAAACGGGGTTTGGCCTATAGGTTCGCCGTGAGGGTGAGACAGGTATGTTATTCCAGTTATGGGGAACAGGGCCTGCACACTGCACGCCTCAACAGTCTGGCCATCACTGTTTCCTGAAACTGCTTTGAAAACTGTCAGGTCCTGCACACCCCTGCGTGGTGGCTGTAATGTGCAAATGGCTCCAGGGCAGAGCAGCTGAGGTGAAGTCATTCATGCCAAGCACGTGTCCTACTAGGATGCGGGAGGGGGAGGGAGGGATGGGGTCTAGGGAAGTTACGGTCAGTCAGATATGGCTGTCACCCAAACTCAGACCTTACTGCAACTCTATTTTTTTGGGGTGTGGTGAAAATGACACTGATGGTGATGACGATGACGATCACGATGGGGATGGTGCTCTGGATTCTATTCTCTATTCTATTCCTCAGTCAGCTGCTCCTGCCATTCAGGTACCGTCTTCTCCAAGAGGCCTCCCTAAACCCTCAGATCTAAAGGGGCTCCCCAGTCACTCAACCTCATGACTGGGTTTTACATTCTTTATTTGAAATCATTATTATTATTTGAGAGAGACAGAGGCCACAAGCAGAGGAGGGACAGAGACATAGGGGGAGAGAGAGAGAGAGAATCCTAAACAGGCTCTGCACTACGAGTGGGGAGCCCGAAGCGCGACTCAAACCCATGAACTGAACAGTGAGATCGTGACCTGAGCTGAAACCAAGAGTCGAACACTCAACTGACTGAGCCCCCAGGTGCCCCTCACCTCCCTTATTCCAGACTCTATACCGTTATTAATGCAGTCTCATATGGAACAACCTTTTGACCAGGCTTTAGTCCAGCCTCCTGGGGTTGGAAGAAACAGAAACCCACTCAGAAGCACTTTAAGCAAAAGAGACAAAGGTTTGGGAGGGGCTAGAGGCCGCTTCACACAAGGGCCCCCATGAAGGGCGGTGGGTCTACCAGGAGAGCAAACCGGAAACCATTACAGCCCATCTGATACAGCTGCTGTGTGTGGCTGCCTGTCCCTGGGCCACACGGTCCCTTGCTCACTCTGTCACCACACACATGCCGCAAGGTGGCTGTCCTAATCCATCTCACTTCCCACACCCAGAAGTGACAAAAAGGTGATCGCTACGCCAGAGTGTTGGGTCCCAGGAGAGGATCTGATTGTGCACCTCTCGTCCAATCAGCTGTGACTAAAAGGTAGGGGTCACACCTCGCAGAGGTGGCTGCTGGACTCCCTCATTGTAGGTGTGTGTGTGGAGGGGGCAATTTCCTAAGAAGGAGCTGCCCCCGAGCCTGAGTCACCCCGAAGGCCCTCTCTCCAGGAGTGACACTGAACGTTACAGCGGCACAGGCCGACGCAGCGCGGCAGCACGGTCACTAGCCACGGCACTGGAGGTGCCTAGGCCCCTGCCGTGTGGCACGTGTCCCTCCTGCTGCTGGCTGGTCACTGGAGAGTGGACACAGATGGCACCGTTGAGTCCCCAGATGCCCTTCTCACACGGGCAGACACATTTCAGATGCCAGTTCCGGACCCCACAAGACCCCGTATAAAGCCCTTTTAGGATGCAGCTCTCCCCGGAGCTGTTCAGGTCCTCCTAGGGCTTCCGCCTTGGGCAGGTGCCCCAGCGAGCCGGCCAGATCACAGCAGTGCCAGGCATGCTCCATCCCAGGGGGTCCCCCCGAAGAGGGTGTGTGGGACGGCATGGCCAAGTCACACAGCCAGGTGGTGGCGGGCGGGCAGTTCTCTCCTACAGGGCCGCGGGTGGGGGAGCTCCTGGCTTTGTCACGACCCCAGGGCCGGCCTCCCATCCGCTCACGCGGCTCTCCTGGGGCCCATGAGCCCAGGCAGCACTCCGTTCCGGCCGGTGGGTAGGCAGGTGCAGCGCAAATGAAATGCTGGCAGAAACTCCTGGCATTCTGGAGGCTCTGCGAAGCCACCTGCCCATCAGCTTATCTGCGGAGGGCAGGGACGGGGCCAAACCGCCAGCCGCGAGCCAGATAGTCAAGAGTCACTTGTGGTTACATCCAGCTGCCTGTTCCTCTCCAAGACCAGGTGTTTCTTTATTTTCTAAACCTGAAACACAGCGTAGAGGAGCACAGTGTATCTGGGAGAGAAGACGGCTCCCTCCCGCCTGAGGGACAGCTAGGAGCAGAAGTATTTACGAAGTCCCCTAATCACCACAGCTCCTAAGAAGAGGCTGTGCCTATAATTCGTGCTGCCATTACAGTCCCAGAATCCCACACTCTCCCTTATCATGCACAGCAAGCTTACATTTGGAGTGTTCCATTTTGACTGAGGTCAATTTTTTTTAAAGTTTATTTCTTTTGAGAGAGACAGTGTCGGGAGGGGAAGGGTAGAGAGAGGGAGACACAGAATCCCAAGCGGGCTCCACACTGTTAGCACAGAGCCCAATGTGGGGCTTGAACTCACAGAACTGTGACATCATAACCAAGAGTTGGATGCTTGACCGACTGAGCCCCCCAGGCGCCCCTTGACTGAGGTCAATTCTTGCCTCCAGCCCCCAACTACTGGTTTGATTACAAAACCTTTTTACCAAGGTGCCTGGAGGGCTCAGTGGGTTAAGTATCCATCTTTGCTTCAGACCATGATCTCTCCATTGGTAGGCTGGAGCCCAACTCAGTCCTCTAGCTGTGCTGACAGCTCAGAACCTGGAGCCTGCTTTGGATTCTGTCTCCCTCTCTCTGCCCCTCTCCCGCTCTCTCTCTCAAAAATAAACATTAAAATTAAAAAATAATAAAAGAAACCTATTTTACAGAGCCACCTGGGTGGCTCAGTTAGTTGAGAGTCTGATTCATGGTTTCCGCTCTGATCATGATCTCGTGGTTTCGGTTTTGTGGTTCAAGCCTAGCATCCACTTGGGACTCTCTCTCCCCCTCTGTCTCTCCCCTGTTCGGTGCTTTCTCTCTCAAATTAAATAACCTTAAAAAAAAAAAAAAAAGACATATTTTACGTGGTGGCCCAGAGCACAACAGAAATGTAACAGCACTTACAGCCTTAAAATCGCTGGTTGCAACCCTGTCCACTGATCCCTGGGGGGCTGATAACTTGCTACAGGCCGTTCACCAAGTATGAGCCTGGGACATACGGGAAACTGTCGTTTGTTTTCCCAACGCTGGGCTCCTTACAGAAAGCCTGGAGAAGACGGAGGGGCAAGGCCGTCCGAGGACCAGCCGCCGGCTGCGCCCAGGAGCTTCCGGGCGGCGGGGGAGGGCTCCAGACGACCTCGGGCGGCCCCGTAGACTCTGGGGAATAACACGCCCTTTTTTTCAACTGATCCGTTCTGAAAGCTACTTTTCCTTTAAAAAAACATGACAGCGGGACTGACATACGATTCGCACCCAGGGCCGACGCAGGGGTCTCCGTGCGGGGGTCTGGCGGCCTACACCGCCTCGGGGTGCCCCGCCGCGGAGGGTCGGTGTCACCCAACGCGCACCGCCTGCAATTCAAGCAGGAAACACGCAGCACCTCCCTCTGCTCCGGGACCGCACTGGCTCGACAACCGCCGCCAGCCGGAAAAGCTCTTCAAAGTCCCCACGTCCTGCGGAGGCGGCCGCGCTGCGACACAGGCGCGCGCCAGCACGAGGGCGTGGGCGGAAGGGCGCCGCTGCGCATGCGCCCGGGCGCGCCCATTTCCCGGCCTCCCCCGCATCCCGCCCTGGCGCCGATGGTTCCGCCCGCGGAGGGGCGGGGCCGCGCGCGGCGGGAAAATCGGCGCGGAGCGCGGCACCACTTCCGTCTCCGGCGCGTACCCTGCTCGGTCTCGGTCCCGCCGTGTCCCCGGCCCCCTGTCCCGGGCCCCGCCATGGCACAGCCCCGTCTCACCGACTTCTTCGCGCGCCGCCGCCCCGGGCCCCGCGCCGCGCCGCCGCGGGCCAAGCCTGCCTGGCGCACCCCGAGCCCCGCCAAGCCGGCGCCCCCCACCCCGGCCCGGGCCCCGGGCGGCAGCCGCAAGCGCGCCCGCCCGCCCGCCGAGCCCACGCGCGACCTCCCCGCGCCGCCCGCGCGCAGGCGGCTGCGGCTCCCGGCCGACGCGGTGAGGCCGCGGGCGAGGAGGGGGGGAACTGAGCCCGGGGCGGGGGGCGGGGGGAGTGGATGGGCACCGACCGGAGAAAACACTTGTTGAGGAGTGCGGGGAAACTGAGGCCGGGATGGGGCGGGGGGCGGTGCGCAGGCTGCGGTGGGGCCCAAAGAGACTTGCCCTGGGGAGGGCGCAGGCCAGGGGGCTGCGTGCGGACGGCAAGCCAAAGCCTCAAGGGGGGGGGGGACTGGACCGTGCGGAGAAGGGGCCCGAGCCGCTGCGGGAGGCAGTGGAGAAGGCCCCCGGCCGGTCACCCCGGGTCACCGAGACCTGGCAGGTGGGCGGGCCTGCTGGAGAGCACTGGGCGGTTGGGGACCGAAGGCACGGGGAGTGAGCGGGTCTGGAGGGCCCAGCGCAGTGGGCGGCCGGATGGCCAGCTTGCCTGCAAGGCTGGGCCGGGGGTCAGGCCTGCGGAGAACCAGCAGCACAGACAGGCCTGGCCCCTCTGGCCCCGCCGTCATCCGTGCCCCCAGCAGCTGGTGTTCTGGCCAGCTGAGGGAAGTAGGAACCGGGTCTCCCCACTCCTTCACCTTTGGGGTTCTGTCCACCAGGTCTCGGGCCCCGATGCCTTGGCTGCCCCAGGCTCCCCAGAGCAGGCCGCTGTCTCGGCAGGTCAGCCGCCCCCCGCAGCAGCCCAGGAGGACAAGGTGAGGCCGGACCCAGGGCAGGGGAGGCGGCGCGCCGTGGGGGCTCCAGGCCAGCTGACGGCATCTTGTGTCCACAGGCCTCCTCAAAAGTCACACTTGCCGAGCTCAAGTCATGCCTGCAGCGGGCACGGGAGCTGGGGGCCCGGGCCCAGGAGCTGACAGCGGGTGCCCAGAGGAAGGCTGCTGGGGAACCCGGCGTGACGGAGCCCGAGGGCCAGCCAGCAGGGCCATGGTGAGTCCTGGGTGGGCGGTCAGGCGCCCAGGGAAAGGCCAGGCTGGTGGGAAGATGCAGGCGGGACAGGGCTGGGCGGAGGGGGGACCAGTCCCTGCCACAGGCTTGCTCCGCTCCTCAGCCTCCATCCATCAGAGGCCCTTGTCACTTCGGAATGCTATCCACGGCTGGCGGCCACTGGGTATTTGTCTCCCACACCCGTGTCTGTCCTCCCCAGCTCCTGGGGTCCTGTGTGCCGCGTAGGCATCCGGAGCCAGGACTTCCCTAGGTGACCAGGGCGAGGTGTGAGGCCACGCTTTTCCGGCCCCGTCCCGGGCAGTGCCTGTGACAGGAGACCGGGCGTGCAGGGACTTCGGGGACGGGTCTGTGGCGGGGCGTGCGAGCGGGATCGGCTTTCGGGCCCCGGGCCGCCCCGGCCCCTCGGCTGCGTGCCGTTGGCGGGCGTGGGTCGGGGGCTTCTCCTGAGGCCCGGCTCCCTCCCTGGCAGCGGAGAGGAGGCCCCCGCCTACCAGCGCTTCCACGCCCTGGCCCTGCCGGGCCCCCCGGGGCTCGTGCTGCCCTACAAGTACCAGGTGCTGGCCGAGATGTTCCGCAGCATGGACACCGTCGTGGGCATGCTCCACAACCGCTCTGAGACCGCCACCTTCGCCAAGGTCAAGCAGGGCGTCCAGGACATGATGCGCAAGTGAGCGGCCGGCGGAGGGCGGGGGCCTCACCCTGCCTGTCCGGTCTGAGTGCGCCCTGCCCGGCGCCCTCTGACCCGGCACCGTGTCCCCCGTAGGCGCTTTGAAGAGCGCAACGTGGGCCAGATCCGGGCTGTTTACCCCACTTCCTACCGCTTCCGCCAGGAGCGCAACGTCCCCACCTTCAAGGACGGCGTTAAGAGGTCTGATTACCAGCTAACCATTGAGCCGCTGCTCCACCAGGGTGAGTGTGCTCTGACTGAGGCCCCTCCTCTCCGAGCCTCGGTTTCCCTGTCCGTGACACCGCGTGGTTTCGGGTGTGGGTGTGAGGCGTCAGGCACCAGGCCCCATCCAAGGCCAGTGGTCTGGGGGCCTGGGCGACGGGGCGGGCCCGGCCTGGGGGCTCAGGCCTGGCCTTCCCGCAGAGCCTGGCAGCACGGCCCCCCATCTCACGGCCTCGCACCTCCTGCGGCGCAGACAGGTCTTCGGTCAGAATCTGGTGGAGCGCGTCCGGGAGCACCACAGGGTGAGCCACCCAGGTGACCCGCGCTGTCCTTGGGGGAAGCCCCTCCCAGCAGGCCCTGGGCTGGGCCCTGTACCCTGTTCCCTCCTCTGCGCTCGAACCAGCCCTGTTGTAGCCCCGTCTTCTCCCCCAGGAGACGGGCTCTCGTGAGAGGCTGACTCTTTGAGTTCTCTTGACCCGTCTCCACGGCTGCCTTATGGGCTGGGTGCAGGGCTGGGTGAGAGCCCTCCTCCTGGTCCCCCGGGACTGCAGCCTCAGGCCCTGGGAGGCGCAGGATGGGCTGAGTGCTGCTCTGTGCGCCGAGTTGTGCCCTTTGGCCCCGCTGAGTGCCTGGAGCTCAGAGAGGTTCAAACTTGCCCAAGGTTGCCCAGCTGGGTGGGATAGGAACCCAGCAGTCCTGCCCACCCCCCCCCACGCAGATGTGCCCGGGGTCACCTGGCGCTCCTGTCCCCGTCTCACACAGGCCTTCCTGGCATCCCTGAACCCACCCGTGGTGGTGCCTGAGGACCAGCTGACGCGCTGGCACCCCCGCTTCAATGTGGACGGAGTGCCTGACATCGAGCCGGCTGAGCTGCCCCAGCCGCCCACCACGGAGAAGCTGGCCACCGCCCAGGAGGTGCTGGCCCGTGCCCGCAGCCTGATGTCACCCAGGGTGAGACTGCATGAGGGCCTACGGGGTGGGGCAGCCTGGCCTCCACACGGGCACCTGACGGGCTCCATCCTTGGCCAGGTGCCTCCGGGGTGGCGGGACGTGCCTGCTTGGCAGGCTCTGCCCTGGGGCATTGGGTCTCTGCCTCGGTGCTCAGGGTGAGCCTGACCCGGACACACAGCCACTCCTGGGCAGGCGTCCGTGCGGGGTGTGAGCGATCTCCCTGTGGCTGGGCCAGAGAAGGCCTCTCCTGAGTTCTCCCCTCTGACCTGCCCCAGATGGAAAAAGCCCTGAGTGACCTGGCTCTGCGTACGGCCAAGCCCAGCAGCCCCGGGTCCCCCGGCCCCGCCCTGCCGGCCACTCCCCCGGCCACCCCGCCTGCCGTTTCGCCTGCCGCCCTGAAGGGGGTGTCCCAGGACCTGCTGCAGCGTGTGAGTGTCTGGGGTCCTGGCGGGGGTCCTGTGGGACCAGCTGTCTGCTCACCGCCCTCTCTTCCCCTCGGGCCCACCGCAGATCCGGTGCAAGGAGGCGCAGAAGCAGCTGGCGCAGATGACGCGGCCGCCGGAGCGGGAGCAGCGGCTGCAGAGGCTGGAGCGGCTGCCCGAGCTGGCCCGCCTGCTGCGCGGGGTCTTCGTGTCGGAGCGCAAGCCCGCCCTACCCATGGAGGTGGCCTGCGCCAGGATGGCGGGCAGCTACCACGCAGCCATGAGCCCTGGTGTGTGCAGGGGCGTGGGGCGGCGGGGTGCTGGGCCCTCCCTGTGTCCCCAACTCCGGGATGAGGCCGGGCACAGTGCCCTCAGGGTGAGCCTCCACCCGGCCCCCCAGACCCTCTCACACGGCGCCAAGCATCAGGGGACTGTGGGTTCCCTCCAAGCTGCAGGGCAACCCCCCTTCCCACTCCCCCCCCCCCCCCCCCCNGTGGACAGAAACTCTTAACCGTGAGCCGACAGTCCTGTCTGGCGCGGGGAACCCAGTACTTAAGAACCACGGGCTGGAGCTCCCCGTGCCGGAAGCTCCTCTTAAATAGTGGCCGGACCCGTGGGCTGCCCGCCCTGTCCCCGTGGTTTCCGCTTCGCCTTGCAGTTACCCCGCGCCCACGCCCAGGACCCCCCCCCCCCCCCCCCCCCCCCCCCGCAGGTGCTGGGCTCAGCGGGAGGGTCGGCTCCTCAGCAAGGCTGTCCTGTCACCGCCTGGCGCGAGTCCTGCCACCTTCCCACTGGGCAGGGGCGGGGCAAGTCCCCCACCCCCAGGGGCCGGCCTCACGCCCCGTGTGTCCGCAGGGGAGATGGAGATGCACGTGCGGCTGCTCGCCGAGCTCCTGCCCGACTGGCTGAGCCTCCACCGCATCCGCAGCGACACCTACGTGAAGCTGGACAAGGTTGCTGAGCTGGCAGGGGTCCTGGCGCAGCTGGCGCGCCTCGCCCGGGCCGAGGCGGCGCTGTGAGCCTCGCCGAGCGGGGCTTAGGCCCCTGGCCTGGCCTGCTGGCTCTCTTTTGTCCCCTTTAGGAACACAGTGCACTTTCCTCCCCCTCAACTCCCCACCAGGGCCTCTGGCCCGTGGTGTAGCATGTTGTCATTAAACTGGTTTCCGTTGGTGACTTGTCTTTGCTGCCTTTGGGGGCGTAGGGAAGCGGGGCAGCTTTGCAGTCCGTGTAGACCTGGGCGAGGTGGTTGGCAGAATGGCTCCTAGACATCCCCGTGGGAACCCCGGATGACCCGTTGTCACCGCTGGACCCCCACAAGGGGGAGGTGGACTGTGACACTGGAGGGTGGAGGGAGGGCCCAGAGCCCAGGCGTGGGAGAGGCAAGGAGCCCGATTCTCCCGGGGCCACCAGGAGGCGGCAGCGTCAACAACCCCAGGCTGACAGTGTTGCGAGCCACCCAGCGGGCATGACTGCCCAAGCCACTTGGGCAGCACCTGTCTGCTCCTTCAGGGGTGAGGCAGCTGCAGCCAGGGGGCCAGGCATGCTGCCCAGCCGGCGAGGTGGGACTCCCACACCTCCTGCCCCAGGCCCAGACCCCGCCCTGGACACCCGGATGAGAAAGCCACTCTAGCAAAGCAGTTTATTCATCTTCTCCTTTCGGTGTTTGTAAACGGAACTGCGGTGGCCTGAGCCACCAGCTCCAGGCCTTGGCACCTCCGGGACCCACAGGAAGGGCCCGAGACAGTAGCCCCAGGCCCTAGAAAAGGGCAACTGGAGAAAATGGTGAAAGGTCCAGGCAGGTGGCCAGCGCCCCCTGGTGGCCGGCGGCCAGCCCCTAGGCTGGAACTCCCCTCTGGGGGGAGCAGTCAGTCGTACTGCAGAAGAGAGAAGGCCGGCACGGCCCCCAGCTTCTCCCGGCCCTTCAGCGAGGTCAGCTCCACCAGGCTCACGCACTCCAGCACCTCCACCCGCAGCTGGCCCAGCAGCTCGCAGGCTGCACGCATGGTTCCTGAGGGGTCCGAAGGGGGCACAGAGTGAGGCCCCACCCAGCTGCGGGGCAGGAGCAGTGGTGTGGGGACCAGGCTCCCGCTGCCCAAGCAGGGTCTTGCCGCTCACAGGGAGACTACGGTGCTGTGGCCCCAATCCACAACCCGCACGTGGGATGAGGCACTCCCTTGCACTTCCCGCGGTCCTAGCGCAGGGGGGAGGCGGGGAGACCCTCACCGCCAGTAGCCAGCAGATCGTCCACGACAACCACCTTCTGCCCTGGCTCCAAGGCGTCTCTCTGGATTTCCAGCTCAGCCTGCAAGTGGGAAGCAGGCACAGGGTCCGCATGTGGCCCAAACCGGCCTTGGAGTGCAGAGCCCAGGACGTGGTGCTGACAAGGCCACAGCCTGGGCCCGGGTCCGACCCACCCAGCTGCTGCTTGGCTGTGTGAGCCAGGCTGGTGTCTCAGACAGTCTGACCACCAGCCACGCCTGTAATCATCCTTAGGAAACCAAGGGTCTAAGGTGGCAACGCCCGGCCCACTCACCTTCCCGTATTCCAGTGTGTATGAGGCGGACAAGGTGGGGCCAGGTAGCTTCCCTCGCTTCCGGATGAGCACGCAGCCCAGGCCGAGCTCCTGGGCCAGGGAGGGCCCGAACAGAAAGCCTCGGGAGTCTAGGCCTGTTGGCCAGAGCTGGGGTGTCAGGGGTGGCTGTATGGCATGGGGATCCCCAGGGGCCAGTGCTGGACAAGGACAGGTAGGCTTTGCAACGACCAAAACCCCCTGGCTTTGTCGGCCCCAGCTAAAGGTCCTTGACTGAGCGCCTCTGTGCATGGCGGGGGGTGGGGGCGGGGGCTCAGCGCAGAAGAGCGGGAGCCGGAGTGGGAAGACCTGTGAGGCCCCAGCGAAGTTACCTGCCTGCACCCCCAGCCCCGCTGCCAATCTGAAACTGGGCTGCTAATAACCATCGAACGGACTCGGACGGCGCTCTTCATCCCTACGGGCAGCTTCCGCCACAAGGGGCTGGACACTGGCTGTTTCCTGCGGTCACGGGGGGAAGCGGAAGCGCAGCTCCCCACCCTCCCCAGGGGTGCATGAGGGAGGACTTCCGGAGGAAGGAACCCCCTGAAGGGTAGAGCCAAGTGAAAAGCTGGGGTCCCACAGGGCAGTGGGGAGCCACAGGAGGGGCTGTCCCCGAGACCTGGCCTGCCGGGGTCCTCCCGAAGCCCGGCGCTGGGCAGAGGGCCTGGCCCACGGCTCAACACACAGAAAGGCAACACGCGTTCTTGGCCCAGTGGACTCTGGTCCGACACTCCCTGGGGACATTTAGCCGCGGCCCCACCGGTCCAGAGCGGAGGACCCGGAACTCGGCGACGGGGATGACCCTGCCCTCAGCCGCCACCGCGAGGACACGCTCAGGCGCCAAGGGGGGCTCCGCACGTCTATCCTTACAGCCTACTCGAGGGGCGGCAGCCAAGCAGGGGGGCGGCGTTTGGCGTGTCCCGGAAGGACGCCCCCAGCCTCTCCCAAGCTAACGTGAGGCGCCCCTCCTCTGCTCCGCTCAGGGCCCGGGAGGGAGAAACGCACACAGGGCCCTCACGGAGCCTGGCGCCGAGCCGGCGGCCTCTCCGGGCGTCTGGGGTCACCCCCGGGCACAGCAGCAGCGCTGGGGTCGGGCAGGAGGCGCGGGAAGGGGCTCCCCTGGGATTCGAGAACCCGCCCGTGCCCCCTCCACTTGCCCACGATGTAGTCGATCTTGCCGCCATGGGTCTCTTTCAGGTGATTCGTCAGGAGGCGGATGGACGCGCGGAAGGAGTCAGGGTCCTTCAGGAGGGGCGAGATGTCCCTGGCACGTAAAGGCAGGCCTGGTGACCCCGGGCTCGGCGGCCTGGCCCCGCGCGACTCCCCCCGGCCCGCCCGCGCCCGCACCTGAACAGCACGCCCGGCACGGGGAAGTCCGGGAAGCTGCGGATGCGCCGCGCCACCAGCTGCAGGTCGCCGTCCGCCATCGCGGGGTCCGCGCGTGTCCACGAGCGGCAGGGCGCGCGCCGGCGGCTCTGCGCCTGCGCGAGCGGGGCGCCGACGCGAGGAGCCGGGGGCGGGGCCGCGCTGCCCGCAGGGAGTACCGTATTTCACCGAATCTCGGGTGCCGCGTCATCCAGGCGCGCTGTTTGTGCGCCCCGAGCAGGCGCGCTCCGCCCGGCTCGTCGCCGCCGCCGCGCCCGCTCTCCTGCCGCGCCGTGCGGGGCCAGCCCGGCGTGCCCGCAGCAGCGCGCCAGCGGACGGGGGCGGCGGCGGCGGCGGGGCCTCGGGCCCTGGAGCGGACGGGCCGGCCCCGCCGGACTCTCGGGGCGCGCGCGGAGCCCCCCCTCACTTCCGCAGAAGGTCATCTTCTCAAAAATAGCAAAAATGCCTGTTACTTTATTCTAGAACTTTCCTCCATCATTTCCCCAGGCTTACGACGGCACAGCTTTGCGGTCATATCCGCAGAGACGTGGAAACTCCACTCTGCAGGGCGGCTCCACGCGCCTTCGGGACGGGGATCTCTCCGCACCAGGCCACCCGGCGGAGGGGGGCGGCGGGCGGCACCGCTCACCACGCGGGGCACTAGGGTCAGCATCCCCAAGGAAGGATGAAGGCCCTAAGGTGCCAACATCCCTCTGTCCCCCCTGGACCAGGGGTGCCTTCCACGTTCACAACTCCGCCGCAGCGGGGTGGTGCCAAGGGGCTCAGACAGGACTGGCACGGGCAACTTTGACAGTGGGGCTCACACACGGGAGGGGACAGCCACGCCTTCTGGGTCCTGGGAATCGCCAGCCGGAGGTCGGGAGCCCGCAGACCTGAGAAGGGTCTGAGGGGCAGCCTTCTGCTCTGGGGCTGCGGTGAGGCCGTGGGGACCGGAGGAGGGCGGAGGGGCTCCAGGGCCCGGGCGGTGCGCAGAGCAGGCCCGCTGTCCCGGCAGGTGAGGTCTGTACGGCGCAGGCGGGGCGAAGAGCAGTTGGGGCCCTTCCAGCTCGGGAGCCCTGCGGCCAGAGCCTTCCTCCCCGCAGGCACTTGCACGGCCGGTGGGGGAGCCCAGGCCTGGCCAGAGCACAAGCGGGTGCTAGTGGGGCCAGGAGCACTTCTCCGGGACGGACTCCGGGGGCGTCAGGCACTTCCCTAACTTTTCACAGCCCGGGGGCGCCCAGTTCTGGCAACGAGAATTAGGAGAGAACGTTAAGTTAATCTAAATACTTCTGGGCTCAGCAGTGTCCACACTCCTGCCCCGCCCCACGTCCTCCTTGGCCTCGGGGCCCAGGGTGTGGGTGGTCATGGGCCAGGCTGCCCCCTGTCCCCGCTGAAGCTCCACATTTCAGGAAGGGCGGACAGAGGCTCCTTCCAGCTTGAAGAGTCTCCACAGGAAGCGCTCTGTCGCCTGGGGGGTGAGCTGGCCTGTCCTAGTACAATGTGACCCAGCAGAGCAAGGCCGTGCACGTTCATGTCCAGACTGTCTCCTTCCGGCCATGTTTTTCCAGCCAGAGACTCCTGCCCCCGAGGGAGGCTCCTGTGTTCTGTGTCCTCCCACGGCCCCTGGGTGCTCCTGTGCCGTGGGAGGGGACTCAGAATCTCGCTGGGGACACTCCTCTGAGAGTGGGTCCCAGAAGCTGTGTGTCACTGAGTCAGACATTCAGTGGCAGGGAGAACCCCGGGGAGGTCCTCTCCTGCCCCGGATGGCATTGCGTGGCCCCTGGGTGCCCACGCAGGGTGGGGCCAGCCACCGGGACAGGGCAAGCTGTGGATAAGGAAGCTCTTCTTTATCTCTGAGGCAAGAAAGCGCCAGGGTGTGCAGATACCGAATCTGGGCACAGGCTGCCAGTCTGGAGCCCCGGGGGGAGCCAGCACCCGCAATTCTTAAAGGCTCCTGGTGTCTAACGCATATCATGACAGGCTCTGCTCAAGGGCTGTGACAGACTGCACAGGGCAGATCTGGACAGAGGGCACCACACTGAATCCGCATCCCCACTGGGCTGGCAGAGGGGAGGCAGGGCTGAGCTGGGGCAGGACCTCCCCTCCATCCAGGGTGTGGCACGGGCTGAGGGCTTGGCACACGCATGTAAATCCAAGCAATGCTCCTGGGCAGTGCTCCCGTGGGAGTCTGGGGGTCGCTGGGGTTCTCTCAAGGGGTGTGGGGGGCAGACTGGGTCCCCCTCGCCCCCGGTGCAGGGGGCAGCCAGCTGCCGCAGTGCCCCAGGCAGGCCCCTCCCCACCAGGCAGTGGGAAAGGACGCTGCCACCCGGACACCCAGCCTGCGCCCCCACGGCATTCCCCAGTGGAGGGCACGTCGCGGGTGGGGACAGCTGCCTTGCCGAGGAGGGGTAAAGGTGGGGTGTGGAGTGGGCACCATGGCTCCTCTGTGGGCGGTGTGACAGGAGCTCAGGCTCCTGGGACAAGGCGCCTTGGTGGCCCTGAGACGGGGGCCTTCCTGCCCCACTGCTCTGAGTCCAGAAGCCGGACAGCCCCTGGCACCCCCGAGGGAAGGAGGCGGCAGCCCTGCTGGCTTCTGCCCTGAGTGTCTTTCCATGGGGAGCCTCAGGACACAAGGCCCCAGACGTGGGCAACGGCGACACAGCCACCCCCACACCGGCCCCGGCTGATGAGGCGGCCTGTCCGCACCATGATGTTTCTCGTGCCAGAACATGCTCCTGACAGTCGCCCTGTCCTCCTGGCACATTGTCCCCGTCAGCCCCACCCTGTGCTTTGGGATCCACACCGCAGCTCCTCAGAATCACCTGGTGGGGGCGCCTGGGGGCTCAGTCGGTTAAGCGTCCAACTTCGGCTCAGGTCATGATCTCACCGTTCGTGGGTTCAAGCCCCGTGTCGGACTCTGTGCTGACAGCTCGGAGCCTGGAGCCTGTTTCAGATTCTGTGACTCCCTCTCTCTCTGCCCCTCCCCTGCTCACGCTGCCTCTCTCTCTCTCTCAGAAATAGATAAAACATTAAAAGAAAAATCACGTGGTGGGTATGGGAAATGGGGTGTTGGGGGGAGGGGCCGGCCGGCTGGGAAGCCAGGCTAAGCCATCGGGGACGGGGCTCTGTGGGTTCTGGGCTGCGGCCGACACCGGGACACTAGAGCCCCCATCTCTGCGGCGCAGGGCGCATACAGACACGTTCGGTCCCAGGGACAGGCCTCGCAGGCGGGTCCCACAGCGTCTAGGGAGGTCTGTCCCCGACAGGACCTCCAGGCCGTCAGCCCAGCACGTCCCCGCCCCACACGGATCTGGCTTCCTTCTCGGGCAGAGCGGTGACACATGCGTGGCCCGAGCCAGAGTGGCGGGGACAGCGAGGTCCCGCCTGCAGCTCTGACAACCTGTGAGGCATGCAGTTCGTCCAGCGTCACCTCAGCTGTGGGAACTCGCCGCAACCCCAGCTCCGTGCGGAGAAGATGGTGCTGCTCACGGGGCCCTCGGGACACCCTCCGGGCACTGGCGGCCTGCGGCCTGTCGGCACTTACCATGACCGCCTGGTTGCACACGTTGAGCTGGGGCTGTCCGGGCACCAGGGCCTTCTGGTGCTGCTGCACGACCGGGGTGATGGCGCGGAGGGCAGCCAGGTACTCCGTGCTGGCAAAGCTGGGGGTGAGAGCGCCAGGTCACGGAGGCAGCGGGCCTGGGCAGGCCGTCGCGGTAAGCCACCCCAGCAGGCCGGGGAGGAGCCTGGGGATGGAAGGGGCCGTCCCTGCGGGAGCCACCGGCCCACAGCCCCCACCTCCACCCCTCCGTGGGCGGCAGGCGTGCGCCTCGGGGAGCCCTCCCTACAAACGAGCGAGGCTGCAGGCACAGCCACGCGACCACACCGGCCACCGCCCCCGCCCTGCACCTTGGCCAGCACCACCGAGGGCACCGCCGGGGTCATGGGTGCCTCCGAGAAGACCCCCGTCTCAGCAGGCTCCTGGCACCTCCTCCGCTTCTCCCTCCCTTTGGCCCAGACCGGCACAGCAGGGACGGCGGATCCCAGCGCCGTCCCTGGATCTGCGCCAGCGCCCCTCCCCAGCGGGCCTGCTCCCCGCACCCCGGCCTGCAAACTTTTCAGAGCAGGTCACCGGTGTGGGCAGGTCTTCGCGATGCTGGCCAAACGCATGGGGAAGGGTCGGCTTAAGCCACGTTCAGCAGGCCCCCCGGTCAGGTTTCTGGCCTCCCTCCGTGTGCCTGTGAACCCGCATGGTGGCTCCAGCGTCTTCTTCCCAGAACTGTCCCACCCTGGGTCTGGCCTCCTTGTCTGGAGCATGGGCACAAGGGCCCGAGGGGATGGTGCAGACTGACACGTGTCTGGTGGCCTAGGGGCCAGTCGAGGGTGCTGCAGGCCTGGCAGGCAGAGATGCAGGGGGCGGCCCTCCAGACCCCGGGCCCCGCCGTCTGCTCCCGTGCTCCCCTGCGTCTTGGCTCTGAAGTTACTTTCGGGGTCAGGAGGAGGCTCAGACTGCTTCCCCCAGCCTCCCTCGCCCCTCGCCCTGGGCTCCAGACCTCGGTGGCTTGTGATAACCGTGAGGGGCTCCCAGCTCCCAGCAGGGAGTGTCCCGGAGCTATGGTAACAGGCAGCTGCGGATGGGGGCTTCCACAACAGAGATCTCTTCCCTCCCAGTTCTGGAGGCTGGAGACAGATCTGGGTGGGGACGTGCCCCCTTGGCGGCTCCTTCCTGCCGCGCCCAGCTCCTGGGGCTCCAGGTGTCCCGGGGCCATGATCGTATCCCCGCACCTCTGCCTCCATCTTCACATGGCCTCTCCCGTGTCCGTGTCCCCTGTTCTGTCTTCCAGGGATACTGTCACTGATTTAGGGCCACGCTAATCCAGGATGACCTCATCTCGACCCTCACCACGATCACCTCCACAAAGCCCCTACTGCCAACAAGACCACACCGAAGGTTCCGCTGGGGGTAGACGTGGGGCACGCGGCCTCGCCCACGGCACGTCTGTCCTTCCCATGGTCCTGGCCTCTGAGCCGGACCAAGGTCCCGAGAAGCTTCTCACCTGGAGCCTCAGCGGGAGGAGGTGAGTCCCGGCCCAGAGGGTGATGGGGCCCCGGGCGGATCTCCCCAGGCCCCACGCCCAGGCCTCAACCCCCACGGCCACCATCTCAGAGGCAGCTGGGACCAGGGGTCACATGATGGGGCCACAGGGACAGAGGGGGGATGGGAGCACGGGGAGGGCTGGCCAGGGCGGCAACTGCCACCCCACCCCCCCAGCCTTGCCCTGTGCTTTTATGCCTCTGGGACCAAGAGCTCATGACGCCCAGCCCGGTTGTGAGCGCCTGTGTTTCCTGGCCCAGCCCGTCTTCCCAGCAGCCCAGAGGCCCCGGGCGCCCGGCTCACCTGAGGGGGAACCTCTCCCCGGGGTCCCGTCCCAGGTGGAAGATCAGGGGCAGCTGCGTGTGCTCCTCCTGCGTGTGGGTGGTGACCCCCGACACGTTCTGTCCGGGGCAGAAATCGACGCCCTGCAATGAGAGGCCGGGCGCGGCAGAGGCCGTGTGTGCGTGTGCGCCCGGAGCCCGGCAGGCAGTGGCCGTGCGCTCCGCAAGGCAGGCTGTCCGTGTGCCACCCGTGTACTGCACCCCAGGACGCTCCGGGAGGGCGTACCAAAGGGACGGGCGCTCTGCCCCTGGGCCTCAGACTGTGGAGCAGTCAGGCCAATGTTCGTAACCCTCTGGAATCCTTTTCTGGGGGGGGGGGGGGATCTCTTTAAGGGCTCCTGCCTGGCTCAGTTGATAGAACATAAGACTGTTGAAACGGATTGTGACTTTGAGCCCCGTGTTGGGTACAGAGATTAATTAAAAAATAAAATCTTGGGGCGCCTGGGTGGCTCAGTCAGTTAAGCGTCTGACTTAGGCTCAGGTCATGATCTCATGGTTCGTGGGTTTGAGCCCCGTGTCGGGCTCTGTGCTGACAGCTTGGAGCCTGGAGCCTGCCTCAGATTCTGTGTCTCCCTCTCGACCCTCCCCTGCTCATGCTGTCTCTCTCTCTCAGAAACACATTAAACATTAAAAAAAATTAAAAAAAAAATAAAATCTTAAAAAAAAGTGCTATCACTTAAAAAGCACACAAAGTATCCCAGCGTGGATCCTATCCTGACTGACAAAGCGTTCCCCCACCCTGTGTGCCTGGCAGAGGAGGGACTGGTGGCACACGGTCCTGGGCTCTGGGCTCGGGCTGTGCGGGCAGTGGTGGCCACACACCCATGCCTATCCGCCTCAGGAGCCGGGCCTGGAGCAGCTACATCCGCAGCGGTGTCCGGACTCGAACCCAGCACCCTCGTGTTGGGGCGTGTCATGGACTCCTGCTGCTTTCCCTTCCGAAAGGAAAGCTTCTCCTGTGCCTGAGATCCAGGCGCTCACAGGGGTGGGGGCATCACCCTGAGTGCCTAGAAGGGGTGGGGCCGAGGCCCAGGAGGGGCAGAAGCAGGCAGCCGAGGGCACGCGGCTCCGGCAGATGCCCCACACGGCGGGACCACCCAGCACCTGGCCAGGCAGGTGGGGGGAGGGGGACAAGGCAGGGGGCGCGGGGGGAAGGCAAACCAGTTCACCTGGGGCCCTGAGACCCCTGACCCGGGGCTTAGCCTGTTCTGAGGACTCCTGTCCCCAGGCTGCGGGTGGCCTCAGAGCAGGGGGGACGGCCTAGGAGGGAAGTCCAGCCCCTAAGGACCTGTCCTCGCAGCCATGCCGTGTCACTGCCAGCCCCCCCTGACGGCGGGTCCACGAGCGAGGCTGCCAGCCCTCAGCAGAGGCCCCCGGGACTGGCCGCCAGCCGGCCTGCTTGGTCCTGGGGTGTCCTCAGGACGAGGTAGTGCGGGGAGCAGAGCCCATGGCCGCCCCGAGCCCCCTTACCTGTCTGAACTCCTCCCAGGAATTGGTCCAGGTCCAGAAGTGGGCCTTGTACTGGCCGAGGGTGACCGCCATCAGCGTGTCACCGCGGTAATAGAATATTGGCCTGTGGGGGGAGGGGAGGGGGTCAGGTGACACGGGAAACTCTCAGGTGTGCCGAGCGGACACCGGGCACGAGGGTGACCAGATCCACGAGGCTGCTGGGGGTGAGCCCGTGGTTGCCCCCTCGGTCCCAGGCCCTGGGAGTGAGGCTCCCTCCGGCCCTCATCTCAGGGCAGACAGCCCGCTGGGACCAGGGTGCCTGGGCCACCTCCCCAGCAGACAGGAGCCCCCGGGCTGGGGTCACGATGCCGAGAAGCTGAGCCCGGACACGAGGGAGCGGCAGTGGTGGAGCACGGGACGGGAAGGGCCCAGGGGTCTGGGAGCCCGGAGACGTGGGCGGGACTGTCTCTCCTCCCTCCCCCGGCCACGGCACAAGGGCCAGGCGTCACCGGCAGGCGTGGCCCCTGCACCCCCAGAGCCAGCCTGAAGTGGCCGGACCCGGGTGCTAGGAGCAGTCTCGGGGGGACCAGGGTCCCGCACAGGGCGCGTCTCGGGCCAGAATTCCCGGGGCGCCCGGTCCTCCCTCCGCCGACAGCCAGCCAGGCACGGCCCCTGTTGTGGGAGCCAGGTGTGGCTCCGCGGCCCGGAGCTGGGAGCTGGGGGCCAGTGCCCGGCTGGAGCCCACCTGTCCGCCAGCCGGCCCTGCAGCATGGCGGGGAGGAGGTCCAGGCCGTCGATCGTCCTGTCGCCGGGCGGCGCCAGGCCCGCGAGGGACAGGCTGGTGGTGAAGAGGTCCATGATGCTGCCCAGCTGGTGGCTCACCTGAAAGGGACGCGGTGGGGGTGCACTCGGGACGCGCCACCCGACCAGACGGCAGCCAGGGCTCAGTGAGGGGCACGCGGTCACACCCCTACAGTGCCTGCCACCGGCCCCGCCTTTCCAGCCCCTCCCGGGACCCCTGATGTCCTCGAGGGTCAGGCGGGCTCCTGCCTCAGGACCCTGCAAAGGAGGGACGAGCCCCCTCGTCGGGAGAGCGGCCTCGGGGGGTTAGGGCTGACTGGGGACACCACGGGGCGGGGAGAGCGGGGAGGCCCTGGCCCCGCCCACCCCCAGCCCTCACTGCTGCGGCCGCTACGAACGGGAACCAGACAGGAGCGAGAAGCCGGTGTGGGGAGAGGCCCGCGGGGCCCAGCGGGCGATGTCTGCCTGCTCCGAGGCCCTCACCGTTATTTTAACCCCGAGCCGCTGTGAACTTCCCAGATCAGGTCCCAGCACAGGTGGGAAAGGGACCCCAAGGCCCAGAGCAGCAGGGAGGAGGGCGCCTGCGGGGGTGGTGAGGGCGGGTGGACGGGACAGGCAACTTTCTCGCAGAGACTACGCTGGTCCCGACTGGACGGCCTGACCCCACACCAGTGGCAGGACGGGCCTAGGGAGGGGCGCGTCCTCAGAGACGGAGCGGCTCTGCCTCTTCTGGGGGCCCCCCAGGTCTTCCCATACACTGGGCAGTGGCAGCCCCCACTCTCCTCGGGCCTGGATCTGGGCGTGACGGCCGGGCCCGTTGGGGGACACGGAGCATGTGCTGGCAGCTCTGTGCGCGCTGCTGGCTGGGACCGTCCTGGGAGACTGTCACCTCAGCGCGGCTGTCACGGGACGCTCCCTCACGAGCAAGTCCGTGTGGAGACCGAGCACACAGGCCACGGCTGCTCGAGTCACGGGCGCTGCCGCCCAGGGCAGGGGTGGGGGCAGGAGGGTCAGTGTTTGGTGCAAACCCGCGCGGGTCTGCAGAAGGGAGGAGACAGCTCGCTCCCCCCGCTTCTCCTTCGCCACCTCTCTCAGGACACACAAAAGAAGGAAATGCAGATGTTTGAACCGTCCGGGCAAAACGGGGGACAGTGCTGTGGGGTGATGGTGGGGAAGGACAGGGGTCTGATGTCCCAAAAGGCCCCATGGGAGCACGCAAAGCTCTTTCTGAAAACCCCGAAGTCTTAACGTGCACGGAACGCCTGTAAGAAAACGCAGCCGGCCTGCTGTGGGCGCGGGGCAGGAAGTCACGGACGCCGCCACTGGCACGTCTGAGACTTAACTGAAGAAAAGGTCATAATTCATAGTCACGTGACTAGACGTGAGCGGGGGCTGAGCACCCACAACAGGGGGGCAAGCGACACGGTGTTTCCATGCAGCCCCCACGGTCACCAGGATGCGCAGCCCTTACAACCTTACAACCTTACAACCGGCTTCAATTCCCGCGAGCGCCACGGACAGTGGAGGCTGGCTGCGCGGCTCTGTTCCCTAAGTTCCCTCCCCCGGGGCGCGGGGGCGGGGGGAGGGCAGATGAGGCTGGAGGATGACCCCAAAGGCTGGAGCCTGCTCGTGGGAGAGGGGTCCCCATGGAGACTGTCCTAGCAAGGAGCGGCTGCGGGAGCCCCGGGGGGGGGTGGCCCATGTCCACACCAGGGGTCTGCTCCCAGCTCTGCCATCTCCCCGCTGGGAGGTCCTGACAAGTGACTTCCTCTCCCTGGCCAGTGTGCTGCCGTGTGAGACGGGAGTGACGACGATGACGACGATGCTGACAAGGGTGGTGGCAGGGATGGGAGTACGCAGAACGACACCCGCCCCCTCCCGCGACGTCTGCATCCCAACCCCCGGATCCTGTGACCACGTTTATGTGGTGAAGGGGACTCGAGGCTCCAAGCAGCTGACCGGAGAGCAGGTGCTGACCTCGGATCCCCAGGGAAGGCCGGATCACCACAGGGTCTGAACAGCGGACCAGAGTCCGAGTGACGAGGTGACACTCGCCTGGCCGTCGCTGGCTTGGGTGATGGGGGGAGGGGCTGCGGATGCCTCTAGAAGCTGGAAAGATGAGGCAGCGGATCCCCCTGGGAGCCTCCAGAAGGACACAGCTGGGTGGCACTGACTGACGCTGGCCCACGAGGCCGTTGCATAAGCCACTAAACGTGGCAGCTGTTACAGAAGCCGCAGGTGTCAGAGGCCTCCTGGGGCTGCTCCGAGGGCAGAACGGACATGAGCGCCGGGCTCAGCAGAAGACGACGACCAGGTGAGACAAGGTGACGCACGCGTTTTCACGCACCGGCCTCCACACCCACGTGTGCCACGCGTCTGATGTGAGACGACCGTGCATGTGGGCTCTCAGATGAAGGAGGAACAGAGCAAGGTGCTCTGAGGAGAGGCTACCTGGCGGGGACAGCAGGGCGCACTCGGGCCCGGCCACCCAGGCTGCAGTCCGCACTTGCGCGCTGCAGACACGGAGGAGCGGCTGTGGCACCCGTGGCCTGGGAGATATGCTCTGGGAAAAAGCTTCTGTGGCCGAACAAGTGTCTTAGAAACTGGGCACGCTTTATGCCTTCCAGCTGGTTACAACACCCGTTGGCACACTAAGGCTCTGATAAGCCCTGCAGGAAAGAATCTGCTTCACTCAACTTAACTCAGGCCTGCCACGTTCGCTGTGGCAGCCGCAGCCGCCGACGCTGCCCCCGACGCTGCCCCCGATGCTGCCCCTCACTAGCTGCTGGCCACGCCCGCCCTCCAGGAGCTGCCTCAGGCTGGGAGGCACCGGAAGTCTCAGTGCCGTGGGCGATGGCCGATGGCCGTAGGCCTGGGGCAGCGGCCGGTCTGACTCACCTGGCCGGCAGGGACCCGCCCGGGCCACCAGGCGATCGCAGGCTCCCTCATCCCACCTTCAAACGTGGTCTGCTTCCCGCACAGGAAAGGACCATTGCTGCCACCTGGGGAGACAGGGTTGCCACCCATCAGACGTCCACCTGAGTCCCCAGGGCGGCACACAGCCTGCTAGATGCGGCCTTCGGGTGGCGTCCGTCCGCCACGGCCCACCCCCATCCTCCTGGCCCCTCAGGGGCGGTGCTGCTGGAACAGCTGCTGGAACAGCTAGGCACCTGCACACAGACCAGCGACTTCAGGCCTCAAGTTCAAGGTCAGAATGCCTCAACACGGAACATGGCGTCTCAGTGTTGAGTGGCCACTCAGCGACGTGACCGCTGCCGTAAGCAAGAGACAGAAAACGTGTCCCATGAGAGCAGGTCACCTGCTGGGGGCGGGGCTTCCTCACGCCCTGCGTGTGGGGTTGGGGTCTAGTTAGAATGCATCACCCCCAGGTCCCACGGGATGTTGGTCTGAGAAGCCCCCTCTGAGCAGGTGGTCCCTGAACCGTGCCTGTGGGAAGCGTCAGCAGACACATGGCTGGGACACCAGGGAAGGTCCCCAAGCAGGACAAAGGGTGACCTGCTGCCAGCACGAGCCGCCTGGGGCCCCTCAACCCTGGTCACCCCTGAAAGATGGGGTAAGTAAAAGGGAGCAGTAACGGCTGTGGCTGCCCCAGCGCGGGACATGAAGCCCCAGCCATTCGTGCGGGCCTGGAGGGAGGGGCCGTGAAGGGAGCGCGGGTGCCGCGCACACACGCGTGTGCATCCCTGAACCGTGAGGAAGACAGGCTGCGGCTGCGCTGGGGGGGCTCACGGGGCTCAGTGGTGCCGGCCTGGGGCCCCGCCTGTTTAGTCCTCCCGCTCGAGCCGTGCGGCGAGTGCACGGATTTGCACCCTCAAAAACCCGCGTGTGGACTGGGTGCACGCCAACGCTCTTAACTCAGGCACAGAGGCGGGCGCAGGAGCCCCGCCCGGCCCGGGACGCTGGCGGTCCCAGAGAGGGCCGCAGGCTCTCCGGGGCACCGGCCGGGGGCACAGCAGTGGCACTGGCAGCTGCCCTCACCTCTGGGACCAGGGGAGGAGGGGGGCAGTGCACGGCCCGCCTGGGGCCCCTGGCCAGCCCCTGAAGTGCTGCTCCTTCCCAGCCTGGGCCTGCCCGCCCCGTGGACACCTCTGTGGGGTCCCCAGCACCTCTGGCCCGGCCCTTCCCCCCGGGCGTCCCTGCGGAGCTTTCTGAGTGACTCAGGGCACTGCTGTGGCCCCGGCACTTTACAGGAAAGTGAGATGAAGAGATGTGGCACCACGGGGGTGGGGTGAGACCCTACAGGACGCCAGGCGGGACGTCCTTGCTCTATGAGGTAGAACAGCCTGCGAGCTTGCTGAGCAGCCCCAGGCCCAGCCCTGAGGTGCCAAGCCAGTGCTCGGGGGCAGGGGCCGTCCCTGAGGCCTGGAGGTGCCCCAGCCTTTCAGGGGAGGAGGGGCCCTGTGAGACACGGAGGGTGCCCCATGCCAGTCTCCTGTGTGACCAGGCCCAGGCTGACTGCCCCCCCCCGCCCCCGGCCCCGGCCCCGTATGGCTCCCAGGCCCGCTCCCGTCTGTTCCCACTGGACGAGGGCCCCAGGAGGGGTCCCTGACGGGGTCTCAGATGCACCAGGGCCCCGAGCACAGCCTCACCCGCGCGGGGCAGGTGTGAGGACACTGGCCTTGTTTCGGGGCGGAGATGAGGGCAGCGCCGTTGTCCGACGTGAAGAAGACGAACGTGTTCTCTGCGATCCTCAGGTCCTGGAGGAGCCTGAGGATCTTCCCAACGCCGTCGTCGATCTCCCGGACAGCGTCCCCGTACCTGCGGGGAAGGAGGGCATCAGTGAGCAGCGGCGTCCTGACTTCCAGGATGGACAACACAACAGGCTAGCTGAACTCCGAAAAGAGGGGGAGGCACATCCCGGGTCCCAGAGGGGCCCCACACCACTGCAACCCTCCCTCCAGGAACCCTGGGCTGACGGCGTCAGAGAAGCCCGGCGCTTCAGTCTCTAGGAATGATGATTAAAGATGCAACAGCACTGGGTGTCCCGTCCCTGGAGGTCACCAAGCATAGACGAACCCTCCAGCTGGGGGGGGGGGGGGACGATGTCTCTCTGACCAAGGACTCACCGCCCTCGCTGGCTGGTGCCCAAGAAAGGCTTAGAAGCATAAACAGGTGCGTGAGTGGCGTCGATGGCCCAGTAGAGGAAGAAGGGGCGCTGAGCTGCCTGCTGCCTCTTAATGAAATCCAGGGCTTCCTGAGGAGAAGACACCGCCTGCCTCTGCCCCGGAGGCCAGCCTGCCCCGCCCCCAGGGCCTGCCCGCCCCGGGCGCCCATTACCTGCAGGTACAGCTGGGTGAGGTTGGCCTCTCCAGTCTTCAGATTAATTGGAAATTCCTCATAGTATCTGAAAAACGACACAGACGCAGACGAGAGCCAGGCCTGAGGCCGGGAAGCCGCCTCCTCCAGGCCTTCACGGCGGTGCTGTCTCGTTCGAAACAAAGATGATGCGGCGCCGCAGGGGAGCGGGCTTGGCCACGCTCCTGGGGCCGCGGCGGGTGGGAGCAGGGTGCGGGGGGAGAGGAGGGCGGGGCGGCTTGGCAGTCACCCGGGACTGCCGGCAGCCCCTGGGCGCCAAGACTGTGCCGACACCGCCGAGCTGTGCGCTCTGAGCCGAGCGAACCGTCTCAGCAAGCGGTTCGTGAAAAAGCAAGGACGTGACCCAGCTTCCTGGTCCATGACACGCAACGAGAGTTTCTACCTAAAATACGACAAAATACAAAAGGAAGGAAAATGGAAAAGGAAACGAAGCCACGTGAAACTGGAGACAGACCAGGGCCTGACAGGCCAGACCAGGGGGTGCTCGGGGCAGAGCGCCCCCCGCAGGCTCACACGGAAGGCGGAGCCCCATCGCTTTGTGCACGCGATTCGGGGCGGGCAAAGGCCGGGCCACCAGGCTGGGGAAGCAAGCCTCAGACCCCGACGCGGCTCAGGGGACGCTCTGGCCATCACCAATTTCTAACCTTTTCCAGGTTCAACCCCTGCGGGTGCGGCTGGGGCACCAACCCTCAGCCCTGAGTCCTCACGCCCTGGGCACTGCCACCAGCTGACAAGGCAGAGCCCGGGGCGCTGGCGAGCGGGCGGGTCCAGAACCTCGGTCTTGCCCTGAGGGCAGCGCCGGGGGGGGGGGGGGGCGGGGGCGGCAGGGGCCGGGCGCCGCCGTCCTCAGGGCGGGGGAGGGACCCGTTACCTGCCGACCATCTCCCAGTCCCTGTACACGGGGATGTTGGGCCTGGCCCTGTTGTCATAAGGTCCAAAGTGGCAGTTGGGGGATCCAAACCACTCGTCGAATCCGTGCTTCAGGGGGTGGAACTGAGGCCTGTGGCCCAGATGCCTGGAAACAGGACCCGGGAAGCTTCAGGGACCCCGCTCAGCGGCACCCCAAAGTTCCGGGCACAGACAGCTCCTCGCCTTCACGGAACATTTCAGGAAACGAGTGTGGCTCCCGTGCCCAACGTGTGCTAAGCCCCACACACACCAGGCCTCTTCTTCCAGGAGGGCACCAGGAACATCCCCCGCCCCCCGCCCCCCCCAACTAGGCGACAGCAGGGCGCTCAGGTGTCCGTCCAGGATGCCAGGAAGGGCTCTGGGGAGATACAGGCTGAGATACCTCACACCCACCCAGAACCGCCCAGAACCCACCGGCAGCCCCGCCTCCACACTCCGGGGCTGCCTCCAGCCTTTTCCTACCCATCAGGACAGGTCTGGGTTCAGCCTCCCTAGTTTGCGAGGAAGGCAGTGTCCCGTTGAGGGGATTGCCACCCTCTCAGGATACGGTCACCGAGAGCCTCTTCTCCCAGTTGGCGACAATCACACCCCCAAAGATGGCCCGGCGGGCCCCGGGTGGGCTGCCTGCCCGGGCCTGACCTTACCACACACTGGCACAGAGTCAGGAGCCACGGGGCTGCTCACTGACCCAGTGCCCTGGCCCCAAGTGGGGTGGGTGTGCCCGCGGGGTGACAACGGCCAGGCTGCTCGGCAGACCACGCTCTGCGCTGTAGGCATCAGGGGAAGGTGGACAGAGCCCCGGCCAGACCTGCCCCCGCTCTCACCTGACAGCCCTCCCTCTCGGGGCACCTAGTGCCAGGCTCCCCTGCCAACAGGAGGTGCCGACCGGAGGAGCCCCGGCGCCCGAGCACGGCTACATGGAAATGGTCCACTCTGGCCACATGCTCTCGGGGAGCTGGGCAGCCTGACGGCGGAAGGGGCACACACAGGCTCTCATGGCCACACGAGCTGGAACGCCGTGTCCCTGGGGCCCCTGGGAGCCCACCCCCTGCTCCAGTGGCTCACACGACTTCCAGGGCACTGTGGACTCACTACACGGCTTGTCACCTGGCGGAGGGGTTGCGGTGGGGGCGGGTGGCCGCGCAGGGCCAGAGGCGAGGTGCCCAGCAACGGAGTCCAGGGGGACGCCGGCAGGTGCCTCGGCGCCCCGGCTCCCCCAGCCGGTTCTAAAACTCTGCCTCCGACTGCCACGCGGCCGGCACCGACCTCAGGCCTCTCTGCCAGGCACCCCATCCTCCCAGGGCGGGCTGCCACAGCGCCCCCCCATGTAACACCCACCCCAGCTCCCCGGCTGCTCGCAGCGCTCCTGCCTGCCCCCCTCCACCGCCTCACGAGGCCTCTGCATACGGCCACACCCAGCCAGCGCCCTGCTGACCGTAAGCCGTCCATTGACCACGCTCCCCCTCCAGCGACAGCAGCTCACGGCCCCAGGGGACCAGGGCAGCCTGGGCAGCTTCTCACTCGAGTCCTGGCCGCACCCACCCCTGAACTTGGCCAGGCCGAGGAAATGCAGATGAGTCATGCCGGGAGGAAGGTCAGGGAAGCCCTGTTACGACGGCCAGTACCCATGGCAGCCCTGTGACGGGGTCCCCGCCCAGGACGCCTGCTGGACGCGGCGCAGAGCTGCCAGGTGGGGCCCACAGAGCCTTCCCTTCGGTCGGCAACACCCAGACTCCATCCTGCAGGCCTGACGCCCGCCCTCTGCCAGCGTCCCCGCACCACCTGGGCTGCGCAGGCGCCGAGGGCCCCAGCAGCTCTGCCCGGTCTGCCTGGAAGGGCAGCGCCCGCTGTTGTGACCACCGTGATGTGCACATGGCACCCCAAGTTGGCACAGACGAGGCGCATCCTGGACAGAGCAGTGCCAGCAAGTGCCGGAGGCCACGGCGCGGCCAAGGAGAGGCCCCGAGGGCTGGAACGCCTGCGGGAAGCGGGCGTGCTCTTCCCCCAGAACCCCAAACCCGGCAAAGGCAGGCAGAACACCTGCTCTTCGCACCTGCCCTCCGGGGCTGCACACCGGGGGCCCCGGGCGGCCACAGAGAAGCCGCTAAGCTGCTCAGGACACACACACCACGCACGACGTGAGCTCGTGGTCCCGTCACCGGGTCGTGATGGTCCCGGGCTGAGGGACCGTCCGTCACCTCCCAGCTGCTGCTTCACGTGGCCTGCACACAGAGCCTGTGTGCTTGCTGACGAGGTGACCTCCGTGCCGGATGCACCACGGTGACAGGCAGCGCGGGGAGAAGAGTGGGAGCAGGCGTGCGGCCGGGAGGGCAGTGGGCTCGATGCCAGCGGCCCAGGCTGGCTCCGGGTGGTCCCACCAGTGCCGCCACCCAGGCCTCCGCAGGACGCGGACTCCGGCTCCACCCGCGGCCCCGCCTCCCGGCAGCGTCCCGCCAGCACCCCCCGCGGGGAGCGGCCTCTGGAAGCGGTCGGGACTCACCACTTGCCCACGATCTTGCTGGCGTAGCCGGCGCCCTTCAGCAGCTCGGGCAGGAGGAGCTCCCCGTCCGGGATGCCGCCCGCCACCTCCTGTGGCGTGTAGGCTGCAGGGCACCGCGGGTGAGCGCCCCGTGCTCTGAGCCCGTCCTTCCAGGGACCCCGAGACCCCCCAGCACGACCGTCCCAGCTGCCCAGGGACAGGACGGCACGGGAAACGAGACCACACGCTAACCCCCCTTCCTCTTCAAAGGCACGGTTTTGGGGCAGCGGGGGGCTCAAGTCGGTTAAGTGTCCCACTAGGTTTCGACTCAGGTCACGATCTCGTGGTCTGTGGATTCGAGCCCTGCGCTGGGTTCTCTGCTGACCCAGCAGAGCCTGCTTAGGATTCTCTCTTTCCTTCTCTCTGCCCCTCCCCTGCTTGCATGTGTGTGCATGCACCCCCACCCCCACCCCGTCTCTGTCTCTGAAAACCGATAAATAAACTTAAGAAAATGCAGCTGAAAGAAACTTGTTAACGTTTATTTATTTTTGAGAGGAAGAGACAGAATATGAGCAGGGGAGGTGCAGAGAGAGAGGGAGACAAAGAATCCGAAGCAGCTCCAGGCTCTGAGCTGTCAGCACAGAGCCCGACGCGGGGCTCGAACCCACGAACCGTGAGATCACGACCTGAGCTAAAGTCGGACACTGAACTGATGCTCCAGGTGCCCCATGAACTCACTGTTGTGACTGGAAGCGCCCCAGTCTGTTTTAAATAACAGGCCACAACCCAGACAGCGCCCGTGAGCCCAGGCAACGAGCGCCACTCCGCAGACGTAAGGCCACTGGTGACCTCGGTGACCACCACCCGCCCCGCCCTCCGGGGCCCCTGCCTACCGTTTCTGGCACGCCCGTTGGTGGTGTAGAAGCCGTTGCGGATGGGCAGGCGTCCAGTGAGCAGAGCTGCCCTTGCTACGTGGGGAGAGAACCGTGGTGAGCCCGCCGTCACCCGCGTGCCCCACGGCCGGCCCCTCCAGAGGGAGCACCTGCCCTGCCGGCCTCCCCTCCCCTCCCCTCCGGGGTCCGGCTCATAAGCCATCTCTGCAGCGCGAACGGCTGTCCTCAGAAGAGGCCACCACAGCCACCTGCACCTCCCAACCCTTATGGGGCCCACGGCCCGGGCGGCCTGTGACAGCACGGGGCTGGGGCCCCAGGGGGAAAGGCCACACCCGCTTGCCAGGCTCCCTGGGTGCCCGTCCCCCTTCCCAGGCCTGCAGGTCAGCCCCAACTTACACGGCGAGCACAGGGGGTTGGCTGAATAGAAGTTTGGGAAAAGCATCCCTTCTGCGGCCATCCGGTCCAAATTTGGGGTCTCTCTGGAAGGTTCTCCATATACCCCCAGGTCACCCCACCCCATCTGCAGGAGAGCGTGGGGAGGTGGAGTGAGCCTCCTTCTGTCTCGGGGGAGATGGGACAGAAAAGCCGGGGCCGCCCAGGAGCCCAGAGCCCAGAGCACCCCAGCACCTTCTGCCCGCTGACCGGCCGCTCACACACACATGTCCGTACAAGAAGCAAGAGCTCCTGAGACTGCTGTCAAAGCACGATGAGCCCCGCCCCCAACCTCACCACAGCACCGCCCCACGCCCGCCCCCTCCCCCAGAGCTCACTACGGCGCCACTGCACCCCCAGGGCCACCCAGGGTAACACCAAGGCGGCACCACAAGCGGCTACACGAATGATGTGAACGTCGTCCATGGCGACACAACTCACGACAGCCCACTCGTCCGTCAACAGCTCGGTGCACATACAGAACGTGGCCTGTCCGCGCGGTACTGGGCTGAACACCAGGTCCGCTCAGACCCCGGGCGCTCTCTTATGTGGGAACACGGGTGTGATCGGCTAACGGCAGACTCGCTGGACTGAAACGGGCCCCAATCTCAACGAGCCCTGTCCGAGCAGGAGGCGCATACACGGGGTGAGCATGGAGGCTGGGGGACACGGCCACAAGCGCCCCAGAGCCCGGGGAACCAGTCCTGCCGCCACCCCGATTTCCCTCTGGCCTCCAGAACTGGGACAGAAAAGATAACTATTTTTCTTTCTTTATTCTGAGAGAGAAAGAGAGAAAGAGAAAAAGAGAGAGACGCGTGAGCACACACACTACCAGGGGAGGAACAGAGAGGGAAACAGAATCCCAAGTAGGTTCTGCGATGTTCTCATGGAGCTCGATCTCTCCAAACGCAAATTCACGCCTAACAGAGATCCCAAGTCTGGCGCTAAACCAACTGAGCCCCGGGCACCCTGAAAAGTCTTCGGTTTGCGGTGCGGGGTTCCGCCCCAGGGGCTAGTGCACACGCGCGCGGGCGCACACACAGGAACTGAGACACCACTCAGCCGGGGAGGGGTGAAGCAGGGGTCTGTGGCATGGACGAGGTCCCCACGCAGCCATCAGGGTCCTGGGGAGTCAGCTGGCAGGGAGTCCCTCCGGCCCGGTGCCTCTGCGGGCGGCTGACTCAGAAGTCCCTGGGGACCATGGGAGCTGGACTAGATTGGCTCCCGGAGGTGCGGCCTCAGGAAGAGCGGAAGCGGAGCTCGTGGGCAGGCAAAGGGCGCCCCTCAGCGACACGAGCCGGCCAAGGCCCCGCACAAAGCTACGTGCTCCGGGGCAGGGCCCAGGTGCCCGAGCCGGGGGCGGGAGGGGGCAGAGAGCAGCCTCAGGGCCTGGCAGCCGCAGAGCAGATAGAAAGGGCACAGCGGCCTGTGGCTCGGAGACTCGGGCCTCGATTCCCTTCCTGCACCCGGCCTTTCCTCTCTTCGGAACGTCGAAGCCCCGGAGCACCGCCCGCGGCTGGCCGTGAGGACTCGGCCCAGACACTCGGCCCAGTGCTTAGCCACGTCAACACCTGTCGAAGGACGCACGCAGTCTGCTCATGGGCTCTGGGGCTTGGGGGAGGGGCGGTGGGGGGGGCACAGCCACAGGGGCCCAGGGGTCACGTGGGGGCGGCTTCTGTGCAGCCTGAATTCCAACCCCCTTGGCAGTGAGGGCGCCGCTTCCTGGTCCTGCTGTCGATGAGGAACCAAGACACAGGCGCTGCTTGGGCTTCTGTCCGCAGAGGCTTCTGTCCCCCCCCCCCCCCCCCCCCCCCCCCCCCCCCCAGAGGAAGGTCAGCTCCCCCCCTTAAAGGAACGGTTCCAGCATCTTCCAAACTCCTGCCCACTTCTGAGCTCACGCAGAGGGACGCTGACACAGCCGCGGTCCTGGCCCTTGACAGGCACCACCCCACCCCCACCCTGCTCCCTGCACTGGGTTCCCTGCCCCACCCTGCTCCTTGCACTGGCCTCTCTGCCCTATTCTGCCCCCACCCTGCTCCTTGCACTGAGTTTCCATGCTCCACCCCCCTCCCTGCACTGGCCTCCCCTTAATGCCTGCCCCTACCCTGCTACCTGCTGCTCCCAGCACTGGCCTCCCCCCCTCCCTGCACTGGGCCTCCCCGGCAGGACAGGCCCCTACATGGCTCCCAGTGAGCCTGGCTCAGGCCAGCCACCCAAGCCGTCGGGAAGTGCACCCTGCAACCGGGCCGGGTACCGTGGGGGGAGACACAGCTGTGCGGGTTTCTGGATCCCACTGGCCTGAAGCCGTGACGGCCAGGCTGTCTAGTCAGGAGAGCCAGAGGATCTACCCTCGCTTGAGTCGTTCTGAGTGCGTGTTCTGTCATTATCATCAGCAGGTCCTGACCCTCATTTGCCAATCAGACCAAAGTCGTCTCGGCTTCTCTGCCTCTGCGCAAACAACCCAAAGCCACCAGGAGGGGCCTGCAGGAGAAAGGCCCGGACCGAGCCCTGCTGGCCCAGTTTCCTGCGGCCCCACGCACGGCATCCGGGAAGGGGGGCTCCCCAGTTAGGCCCCTCGAGTGAAAGCACTCCCAGGGCTGGTCACGCACCCCCACGCGGGACCTCGGGCCTGAAGCAGTGCACAACACAATCAACAGAATACCATCACCCGTGGGCGCCTGCGTCTCCCAGCAGCCCCTCAAAAAGGCAGAACGAAACAGAGAGAAACTGACAGACCCTAACCCAGTGTACCCTAAACATGATCACTGCAACACACATTCATGTAAAACACTATGGGCGCTAGTGAGCAGAGCGGGGAATGCCTGTGGACGGAAGAGGAGGGCAAGAATCTAAAAGGCTGAGCCTCAAGGGGGCCACTCACACCAGCCTCCGTGGGGCTCGGCTCTGAGCGACCGACACACACGGGGCCACAGAGGACACGTGTGCGGGATGTCTCGTTCCCCAGGAAGCAAAGCCGTCAGGGCGGGGTCTCCTGAGAAGCCAGAGCCCGTTCCAGGAGCAGCCACCCCGGAGCAAGTTCGCAGATTAGAGACAAGCATGTTGAGGGTTTTCCCTGGTAAGCGAACTACAGGCAGTCTGAGATTTGTTTCAGGATTGAAAATCCTTCACTTTTTTTTTATAAAAAGAAGTCACAATTTTAATAAGGAAAAGTGTTGAGAGATCTTGGGCTCATTTTCCTGAACTAAGTCTCCAGCACCTGAATGTCTCCCAGGCTGCTCAGTGCTGACCACCCAGGACTGCCCAGCAGGCGCGTGAGGCCCGTGGCCTTGGCCAAAGGCTCCCGTGTGGGTCTCTGTCCACCTTTTGGGGAAACTCCAAGCAATTTTTACTAGAAACCCTTCTGGCACTAACTCGGGGTGGGGGGGTCTCCAGTTCAACTGCTGCTTCAGTTCCTGGGGGCCAGGGGGGACTGCAGCAGCCCAGCTCTGCCCCGTCTACCAGGAGCTGCCATCTGAGCCCACAGGCGCGGGCCTCAGTGCCCCAGGCTGGCCCCCCGCAGACGCCAGCCCGCGCCCAGGCCTCTGGACTTCTGAGGGGACACAAGGACTGGCTGCCACGGCTCACAGAACCCAGGAAGGCGCCAGATTCCCCATTTCGTTTGTCGTGAAGGGTGTGACTCAGGAACAGCAGACGGAACAGACGCCTAGGGTGAGCTGTGGGTGGGCAGAAGCCTCCCTGCCCCTTGGTCGGGCCACCCTCCCAGCACCTCCGTGAGTGCACCCGCTGGGAACCCCTCAGAGACCACTACTTGGGGTTTCTGCGGTGGTTTCGCCACAGAAGCATGACTGGTTAAGTCACTGGCCGTTGGTGACGGAACTCAGGCTCCGGCCCCTTAGCCCCCCCCTGGAGGCCACGGCCAGGCTGACCACGCCACTCACACTAGCCACGTCGCCCCTGCTCTCCACTGCCCTGTCCTGAAGCCATCCAAGGGCCTCAGCCGCCCGCCGACTCCACCAAGCAGGGTCCCTCCGAGGGTTTGAGGGGTGCAGGTCATAACAGTGGCACGGCCTGACCGATGTCAGGGCCCCGGGGCTGCCCTCTGCGCTCCCGCTTTTCCCTGACACCTCACTGTAAGTTTGGAATCTCCACGTCACGCCCGGCTTCTGTAGAGGGACAGCCTCCTGGCCCAGTTGTCACACCCACAGACACCTGACCTGTGGCCACGAGCATTGCAGCCTGACCCGACTGGCGAACAGCCCCAGACAGCGCACCACCCCAAGGCCAAAACCAGAGAGTGTGCAGGTGGGCCCTGGGCCCCAGTCGGCTCTACACCCCATCCCTGCCCCAGACACCCCAGGCCCTGTGGGAGGGTGGTGGGGGCTGCCCCTCTGTCCTTCCAGAGCGGGAGCAGCAGAACCGGGGCCCCGAGAAGTCATCCCTGGCGGCTGCAGTGACACTCCATTTGCTCTGCTGCACTAAGGCTGCTGACGCCGGGGGAGGGTTCTACTCCCACCCCGGTGGGTGCCACGGGGCTTCCCCCATCTACAGCCCCCCATGCCCTCCCCGGCTACCTCCTCCCACGCGGCACTCCCCCCCCACTCCCCCTCGACTTCCCCACGGCCCTCGCCCCACGGCCCTCCCCCGCCCAAGGCCCTCCCCCCACAGTCCCCCTCGACCTCCCCACGGCCCTCGCCCCACGACCCTCCCCCGCCCACGGCCCTCCCCCCACACTCTCCCTCGACCTTCCCACGGCCCTCCCCCTGCCCCCCCCCCCAGCCTGACCGGCAGCCGCACTCACGTCGTCCATAAGCAGGAGCAGGATGTTGGGGGGCCGCGGGCCGTCCGCGGCCTCCAGCCCCGCGACGCTCAGCAGCAGCAGCGGCAGCACCAGCCTCCACGTCGTCGCCGCGGCAACCGGCGCCATAGCAACCAAGGCCGGGCGCCACGGAGCCCGGGCCAGCGGCAGGGACCGACGGGCGCGCGGGCGGCTCTTCCGGCCCGGCGGCGGGGCGGGGCCGCGGGGAGCGCGTGACCGGCGTCCGGGTCACGTGACGCGGCCGAGCGGGCCTCCAAGATGGCGGTGTGCGTGGCGGTGATCGCCAAGGAGGTGCGTATGCGGGCGGGCCGTCCGGCTCCCGCGCCCTCCCCGCCCGGAGGGCCCGGCGAGGACGGGCCTGGGGGCTTCGCGGCGCGCGGTGTGGTGGGGGCGGTGCGGGGACGGCGCCGCCCAGACCCGCGTGGGCCGCTGCGGGCGCGGACCCCGCTGCCGCCCGCCGCCCGCCGCCCCTCCCCGCTGCGGCCCCGGCGCCGCTCCCGAGGCTCCCCAGACCGAGTCACGCCCCTGCCCGAGTCCCTCCGGTGGCTTCCCGTTGCCTGCGGATAACGGGTTACGTCAGCATAGCCTCGTCGCCTCGGGCCCCCTCCCCAAACCCGACGACGTCCCTGCGAGCTTTCCCGTCCCTGGGCCTTTGCGCCCGGAACGCGCCTCCCTCGTCCCCACTGCCTTCTCCTCGCGCTGAGCACCTTAGGTGTCTCAGTCCGGGGGGCGGTTTCCGAACCCTAGACAGCCGAGGGGCCGTTCACACGGCTTTACGCCGGATACTTCTGCGTTTCCGTAAAGCCAGGCTTAGGAGGTGATCCTTGAGGAAGGTTTCAGGTGCGGCTCTGGCTTAGCGCACAGGGTGCCGTCTGCTGTGGGCTTGCCGACTGCGCCTCGCTACACGTTAGTGCCCTTGGGGCGGAGCGTCGTGTGTGTTGTGTGTGTGCAGCGCCGAGTGGGACAGAATCCGTGAATTGTGACATGTGGGAGCCCCGGGAAGACCCCATTAACCCCTGGGGTTAGGATGGGGAGAACTGGCCACGCAGAGATGAAGGAGGTTTGAGCTGAGCCTTGACAGCATCTAGCGAGAGGGCACCCGAGGGGAAAAGGTAGCGAGCTCGAATCGGGAAAGCAGTATTCCGGGCTGGGGGCAGAGCACAGGCTAGGACGGGGCCCCACGCGGAAGGTGAGTGGCTTGCAGGCAGGCTGTGCTCAGACCTAGTTCTTCTGACCCTGTCCCCCGTTCCCCCCCCCCCCCCCCCCCCCCCCCCCCCCCCCCCCCCCCCGCCTCGGCCATGATGATGCTGGCGGCGGGTAAACCTCATCAGGTTAGACTGGGTCCCCTGAAGGCAGTGCCCCCGCAGCTCGCAGGATTGCACAGTGGGGTTTAGATAACGAGAGTATGTCCTTGTGCTCCGTGGCGGGGTCCTCACAGCCAGGCACACACGGCCGACCCCTGTCGCTTCAGCCGCTGACATCCTTTCTTGCAGAATTACCCTCTTTACATCCGCAGCGTTCCCATAGAGAATGAGCTGAAGTTCCACTACATGGTGCACACGTCCCTGGACGTGGTGGACGAGAAGATCTCAGCCATGGCCAAGGCCTTGGTGGACCAGAGGGAGCTCTACCTCGGCCTGCTGTACCCCACGGAGGACTACAAGGTGTATCCTTCACGCCTGGGGGGCTTGTCCGCTCACGCTCTCCCCCGCCCCGGGGCTTTGCATCTGGGGGTTCGGCCCCCAGTTTCCAGGTGTCCTGTAGGATCAGGTGATCTCGAAAGACGTCTTTGAATGTCGCTTGGAAAGAAGGTGAGAGCTCTCAGCCGGCAGAGAATCGGGGCAGCTTGGAGCTCATTAGGACTTCGCACCCTGTGTTACTTGAATTAGAAGGGAACCGTGGGAAAAGCGGGGCGTGGAATTTTCCGGACTGTGGCAGTCCGCACCCGTCCCGTGTCCATCCCTTGTCCGGTCTGCAGAGAACCCGCCCACGTGGTGCCTGCGAGGACCCCCTCCCGTGCTGTCTCAGCAGGGCCGGTTCGGAGAACACTCCATGAGCAGTGCTGTAGCTTGCCCCCCACATCTGCCCGGGAGCCCCTGTCCCCCAGGGGAAGCGGCCTGTCGAGCTGTGCGGGCCGTAGGCAGGGTCCGCCTGGGTCCTGGGCCTCCAGTTTTGCAGTGAGCTCTGCTGGGCCAGGAGGTGACCGAGAACGGAAGTGAAGTGTCCGAGGGTCTGGGCAGGTGGGCCCCCGAGCTCCGATCAGGGTGAGGCTTGGCCGCCTGCCCTTTGCTTCTCCTGTAAACCCTGGAAGCTGCCCCCAGGGAGTGTACAGCCCACCTGGCCTGGTCCGTGTGGTCCCCTCCTGGTATCGTGGGACAGGTCCAGCCCGGGGCCCTTCTTGATGCAAGGCTGTCAGAGTTTTCCAAAGTGGCTCTGGGGCCGAAGGCTGCGCCCAGCTGGCCCTCCGCCCACCCGCGGTCCCGGCGGGTGCCGGTCCTCCTGCCGCCACGGAGTGTGTGCATTGAGAGCGCGTTCCCTAACCAGCTGTGTAGCTACGGCTACGTGACCAACTCCAAGGTGAAGTTCGTCATGGTGGTGGACTCCTCCAACACGGCGCTTCGAGACAATGAGATCCGCAGTGTGAGTGCGGGGCGGGGGGGGGGGGGGGGCTGGGCTCGTGCGCTTGTGCTTTTCCGCCTTGTTTTCAAACGCTGAGAAGTCACAGTTTCGGCAACAGCGGTGCATTCATCTCAACTAACACCACGGATGCTTGTCCCAGATGTTCCGGAAGCTGCACAATTCGTATACTGATGTGATGTGCAACCCTTTCTACAACCCAGGGGACCGCATTCAGTCCAGGTGAGCGGGCCGCTGGGGGGGGGACCTGCCTCGCCTAGAGCCGCGGTCCTGAACGGGAGGGAGGGCAGGTGGGTTCGAGCCGCGGGCCGCGGGCCTCTGAGGGGCGGTTCCGACGCAGCCGAGCCCTGCTTCCCCAGTAATCGTTCCGTGGATCCCAACACGTCACACAGAAGAGGATTGGGGCGCAGGCCCTGCCCTCATGGCTTCCCACCGGGGCCCAGTGAGTCCTGGGCACCTCCACGGGCCCTGCACACGATGGCTTTGTCTTTGATGTGGAACCGGGACAGTGAGGAGGTCGGGTCACGGGTCTTGTCCACACAGCTCTCAAGTCGTCGCAGATGTGCTGTCGGGAGGTCACAAAGGTGCTTTATAAAGAGGCGTTCATGTGCGCACATTCCGGATCTGCTCCTGAGAACTCCCGGCCTTCCTAGACTCGGTTCCCCAGGGGTCCTTATAGCCGGCGGGCGCGGGGACCCTGCAGAGACCTGAGCCAGGCCCTTCCGCGGCGCCTCCCCCAGGCTGTCCCTGCTGTGTGCGCTCTGCGGTGGTCCTGAGGCCACATGGCATCCCCGCACCTCTTCCTGGAGGCCTGGCTGGGGCAGGGCTGCGGGGCATGAGCAGGCGGGAGGCTTAGATGCCCATCGCCGGGTGCGGCAGGACCCTGGCCTTGAGGCCGAGTTTACTGGACTTCGGGGAGGGACCCCCAGGTCCTGGGGGGTGCAGAGCCCGGTCTGCTTCTCTGAACCGGTGTGTTTCCTTTGCAGGGCCTTCGACAGCATGGTGACGTCTATGATGATACAAGTGTGTTGAGCGAGAACTCGGTGGCTATTGCCTGGACACCAGCGCTGTGTATATAAGCTATTGTCTGGATGGGTATTTATTACCTTGTGCCTGTTCCTGAGTGTCCCCGCTGCCGGGGGCAAGGCCTTGGGCACGGGGCGTGGAGACTAAAGGTCTTCTGAGATCACACGTGGCATTTTCCTTGTGTCAGCATAGACTTGAGCTGAAGAGCGCCTAGCGCGGGGTTTTCAGGCTGGCGCACAGGTCGGGCCGGAGCGGGGTAAGGGGCAGGGAGAGGGGGTGAGGGAGCCCACGGAGCCTGGGGCGCTACAGGGGCTGCGGCCGCGGGGCAGCAGAGACGGGAGGGACTCCTGGCCGGCTCCTGGCGGCTGATCTCGTGGGGTGGTCTGGAGGGGCGGCCTGCTGTGCCCAGGGCCATGCCCAGAGGGACACCCGGAGAGCCCTCACAGCCTCCCCTGCGCTGAGTGCCTTCGTCTTCTGGACTTGTGCCTGGGCTCGGGAGGGAGGCGGCCCTCAGAGCGAGGAACCTTTGACTCAGCCCGTCAGCTGCGGCCTGCCTTCTGAGCACAGAGCGCGCAAGTCCCCAAGCCTCTTCCTGGGGGAGCAGGGGGCGATTTCCAGGGCCAGGGTGGGTGGGCGGAGCCTCTGCTCGCCCCTGCGCAAGCTGGGGGGAGGGTACATTTGAGGAGCTAATGGGATTGGATTCCTGCCTTGAGCTTCCCCCACAAGCCTGCTTGGTCAAGTACAGATGACAGTCCTAACTGGTTGACCATGATGGAGGTGACAGTGCCTTCCGGGATCAGGTGGCCTTTGTCATCTGGCAGCGCAGACCCGCTGGGACTGAGCCCCCACCACATGGTCTGCTCTGTGCCCCGAGACAGCCATGATCCCTCCCTCCTCAGTGGCTCCAGAGAAGGGGTCCGACTAGGAGCAGGGCGGCCCGGACGCCCTGGGGAGTGGAGGAGGCCCTTAGCTGGGCTGGGACCCACCCTGAGGGGAGCTTTCCCCTCTAAGGAACGCAGGATTCGTCTTTCAAATTACAGGAGTAGAGGGAAAACACCAATTAGCGCATATTGAAAACACAAGTGCCAGCGCATCACCTCCCCTGCAGGTGGGACTGGAAGGCGGGGAGCAAGCAGCCGCTGGCTCTGAGCTTCTGGACATAATTGCTCCTGCCTGAGTAGCGGCTGTGGGAGGGCCTGCAAGTCATCGACATGCTCCCTTACTAACAAAGCCCCGGTGTTTTTGGATACAGTTGACTGGACAGAAGATAGTTGCTGCTGTCCTTAGCACACAAGTGTAGGTAGTTAGGGAATGTAAGTGGGTGGTGTTGGGAGGGACTTGCAGAAAGGATACTTTGAAGGGGGATTCAGCTAGCAGATGGAGTACCCTTTCTTTATCTTTTCTCTTTTCCTGCCTGCAACTTGGATGTGATGGCTGGAGCTAAGGCAGCCATCTTGAGAGCATGAGGAAAAGATTAATCTCTTAAAGATGGAGAGCAGAAAGCTAGAAGGACATGGTTTTATTGGCGTAGCCCTGAACTACTTATAGTCGGCATCTTGTAGAGGAAGATAAAATAATCCTGTTGAAGCCACTGCTATTTGAGATATTTGGTAGATGCAGCCACACGAACCCCTATAGGCGCTTTACATTCAGCACTTTTTGCACACAGTTAGCATCCCCATTTGAAGGCTGTGAAAACCATGGGTCAGAAGTAACGTGCTAGCAGTAGAACTCTGTGGTGGTTTCCTGCAGTCTCTGCATCTCTCTCCCTGGAGGCCCGCCTCCTTGTGGGCCTGCCTGTCCCTCTGCCCTAGAGCTGGGCCCCAGTGGGTGCAGCGTCCCGTCACCGCTTAGCCTCTGTTCAGGTGATTTGTCTCTGTTCCTCCATCTGCCCAGACCAGACGGGCAGAGGGAGCCTCTCCGCTCTCTCCGGGCACAGCCACGCAAGTCCACTCCGTGGTTTGCTGCTCGGAGCCTCACCTACGTGGCAGGCGTGCGCTCCTTCCGCCTCCCACCGTGGTCTGCTTGGGCCTGAAATGCACGGGGAACGAGGGGCTCCTGGGCCCAGTGTCTCCTCGGAGCGGCCACACAGAGAGGTCAGGGAAATGTTTTTTTTTTTAATTAAAAAAAATTTTTTAATGTTTTATTTCTAGGAGAGAGAGAGAGACACCGTGAGCAGGGGAGGGTCAGAGAGAGAGGGAGATACAGACTCTGAAACAGGCTCCAGGCTCTGAGCTGGCAGTCAGCACAGAGCCCGACGCGGGGCTCGAACCCACGAACCGCGAGATCATGACCTAAGCGAAAGTCGGACGCTTAACCGGCTAAGCCACCCAGGCGCCCCTTAAATTTTATTTTTTTAATATTTATTCATTTTTGAGAGATAGGGAGAGACAGAGTGTGAGCAGGGGAAGGTCAGAGAGAGAGGGAGACACAGAATCTGAAGCAGCTCCAGGCTCTGAGCTGTCAGCACAGAGCTCATTGTGGGGCTCGAACCCACGAACTGTGAGATCATGACCTGAGCCGAAGTCGGACGCTCAACTGACTGAGCTGCCAGGCGCCCCAGGGAAACGCATCTGAGAAGGAACCGGCTGCGGGTAGAAGACTGCCAGCAAGACCCCGCAGACACGCCCGCATGTGCAACCGAGGGCTCGGGACGGCGGCAGGTGCCCTGGCTGAGGAGGGGGGCAGCTCCTGGGGGCCGAGCAGGCGGGAGCTGGTGTCATCTGCACGTTGCTTGCCTGCACTTTCCTGACGGCAAGTGACCCGGCTCTGGCCTGACACCCACCTACCTCCTCATGGGGGTGGGGTGGGGGGAGAGAAAACAGAAATGTCCCCCCTCCCAGTTCTGGAGGCAAGAGCCCAAACTCAACGGGCAGCGGGGCCGACTCCTCCTGGAGGCTCCGAGGGAGGGTGTGGTCCATGCCCCCAGCTCCCGACGGTCTCCTCAGCTGCAGGAGCGCAGCTCTCCACCTCTGCTCCGTCGCCACACCGTCTCTGCGTGTCTCCTTGGACTCCCCCCCCCCCCCCCCCCCCCCCCCCCGGGGATCTAGGATGGTCTGGACCTGTAACTTCACATCGCAAAGACCCCTTTTCCAAATAAGGTCGCATTCATAGGTTCTGGAAACTAGGATGTAGGCATACTTTTTTAGGGGCACATTTTTCACCCCACTCAAGGGCCAGATTTGACCCCAGCTCACAGGGGGAGTGTGAACCTGGCCTGAGGGAGCCAAGTCAAATGTGGCCTGCGCCGCCCCTGCCTGTGGGCCGCGGCACCGAGTGGCTCTGTTGCTGGCTAAACAGCAACGTGCGGAGTGGCTTTAGAAAATATGCAGAAAGAGTATTTGACAAAACATAGCATCCTTTCTTAGTAAAGACCCTTCAGAAAGTCGGGATAGAAAAACTTACTTAAACGTCATAAAAGCCATTTATAAAAAGACCACAGTTAATATCACTCTCAATGGGGAAAAACGTAGAGCTTTCCCCCTGAGATCAGGAAGACGACAGGGATGTGCACTCTCACCACTGCTGTTTAACATAGTGCTGGAGTCCTCGCATCAGCCATCAGACAACTAAAGGAAATAAAAGGCACCAGAATTGGCAAAGAAGTCAAACTTTCACTTCTCGCAGATGACATACACTCTACATGGAAAACCTGACAGACTCCACCAGAAGCCTACTAGAACTGATCCATGAATTCGGCAATGTTTCAGGGTACAAAATCAATGTACAGAAATCGGTTGCATTTTTATACACCAATAATGAAGCAACAGAAAGAGAAATCAAGAAACTGATCCCATTCACAATTGCACAAAAAACCATAAAATATCTAGGAATAAACCTAACCAAGGATATAAAAGATCTGTATGATGAAAACTATAGAAAACTTATGAAGGAAATTGAAGAATACACAAAGAAATGGAAAAACATTCCATGCTCATGAATCGGAAGAATAAATATTGTTAAATGTCAATATTACCCAAAGCAATCTACACATTCAATGCAATCCCAATCAAAATTGCACCAGCATACTTCTCAAAACTAGAACTACCCTAAAATTTGTACGGAACCACAAAAGACCCCGAATAGCCAAAGTAATAATGAAGGAGAAAACCAAAACGGGAGGCATCACCATCCCAGACGTTAGCCTCTACTGCAAAGCTGTCATCATCAAGACCGTGTGATATTGGCACAAAAACAGACACATAGACCAACGGAGTAGAGAACTCAAAACTGGACCCACAAGTGTACGGCCAACTAATCTTTGACAAAGCAGGAAAGAGTATTCAATGGAAAAGAGCCTCTTTAACAGAAGGTGCTGGGAGAACTGGGCAGCAGCACGCAGAAGAACGAAACTAGATCATTTTCTCACACCATACACAAAAATAAACTCAAAATGAAGGACCTGAACGTGAGACAGGAAACCATGAAAACCCTAGAGGAGGAAGCAGGAAACAACCTCCTTGACCTCCACCGCAGCAACTTCTTACTTGACACATCCCCAAAGGCAAGGGAATCAAGAGCAAAAGTGAACTACTGGGACCTCATCAAGATAAAAAACTTCTGGGACGTCTGGGGGGCTCAGCTGGTTGAGCGTCTGACCGGCTCAGGTCACGGTCTCACGGTTCGAGGGTTCAAGCCCCGCGTCGGGCTCTGTGCTGACAGCTCAGAGCCTGGAGCCTGTTTCAGATTCTATGTCTCCCTCTCTCTCTGACGCTCCCCTGCTCATGCTCTCTCTCAGAAATAAAACATTAAAAAAAATTAAAAAAAAAAAAAAGAAAAGGACGTCAGGCTGCCTTTTCAATTTCTGCGTTGTGTTTTCTTGGGTGATGGTGTCGCGCTCCTGTGTTTTCACTCTACTATGAAATGCTCAGCACACTCACGTGCAGCAGCCATTAAGTGCGGGTGTTCTGGGTGTTCTGGGTGTCCTGGGCATGGGCAGGGAGAAAAGTGACCCCATGAACACCAGCCTTCCCTGCCGGGATCTTCTATCCAGAGAGAAAACCCAAATCCTTGAAAAGGGAAGGTCAAGACAAGGGCCCGGGAACAACTCTCCAAGGAGGTGCCAGAGGCAGATGTGAGAGCAGCTGCAGGGCCGGGACCCCGAGCCGCCGAGGACCTCGCTTGGTACAGAAGCAGAAAGAGGTGCGGGGGGCGGTCCCTGCAGGAAATCCCAGGCTGACGGCACAGTCACCGGTGTGCTGCGCCCGAGGGCAGGGCTGGCGCAAAGGCGGGCAGGAGCTGCCCCAGCCCCAGGCCTCCTGCCTGGCACAGGCCACTGAAGCCGCACTCAACGGGCTGGGGGGGGGGCGGGGGNTTGCACTCATATGTGGAACAGGAGAAACTTAACAGAGGACCGTGGGGGAGGGGGAGGGGAATAAAATCGTTGGGGAGAGGGAGGGAGGCAAACCGTAAGAGACTCTTAAATACTGAGAACAAACTGAGGGCTGATGGGGGGGGAGGGGAAGGGGGGTGATGGGCATGGAGGAGGGCACTCGTTGGGTTGAGCACTGGGGGTTAAATGGAAACCAACTTGACAATAAACTATAAAATGAAATAGTAAAAAATAATAAAGGATAACTGACCTATATGGGAATTTCATAGGAATTGAACGATGTAAGTGAAGATGATCTCCAAAATGTTGAAAGTAATGTTTAACTATTCCATACAGTTATCATTGTGAAGCATTTCTCATATTTCTTACATGTTATGAGGCAGAGATGCTGTATGCTGATTATTTGATATTATATTTTCTCTGTTTTACAATGAACAAGAAACTGGTAATACCACTCATTCTGCCGTTCACGTTTAAAAATTGTGTCCCAATTTCTAAATATCACTAGGATAATGAGCAGGAAAAACAGGTTGCAGTGTCTCCTAGGCCCAAAATAACTCCTTTTCTATACATCCGCCACAGTACTTTCCAGAAGGAGGGGACAGGAGCTCGCGTTCATGGAAACACTTCGGAATCACACGCAGTCTGAAAAGGCTGAGCAGGAGAGTGAGACTTCTAATAAACCACAGCCAACGTGTGGTTTTAATAAAGCAAATTAAAGAAAAAAAAAAAAAAAGCCCGGGACGGTTCGCTGGCCGCTCGTGGCAGAACCGAGCGTGTCTGCTTCCCCAGCCCCGCAAAGGGAGGAGAACACGCCGCGCTCCCGGGGCGGGGGGAGGGGGGTCTGCTCAGGGGCCGCGGTCAGCGCCCCGCAAGGGAGCCCCGCGGCCTCACCAGCGCCCGGCCGCCCGCGGGGGGGCGCCCCCTGGAGGCCGCGGGCCTGGGGTGCGGGCGCAGCCCCAGCTCCGGGCGGCGCGGGGAGGCCTGCCCCCGAGGCGGCGGCGAATAACGGGGAGGCCAGCTGTGTGTTTTTAAAAACTATTCAAATTTAATTTACGCTTTACCGTTAAGACACATTTCTACTTTTCTTTAAAAGGACTGAGCCCCGAGCTGGCGCAGCGCCACCTGCCGGACGCTCGGCCCCGGGCCCGCTGCCTGCGGGCCTCGGGCCGCCGCGGAGGCCTGGAGAGGGAGGGGACAAGCAGTTACTCCGCGCCGAATACACGGTCCCGCCCGGGCCCCGCCGCTTCCTCTCGACCTACCCCGGCCCCACTCTCAGAATCGGATCCTCCCGTCAATACGGCGAACACCAAGGGGAGAACCTTCCGCGGCCCCTGCAGCGAGACAAGCGCGGGCGAGCTCGGCCCCCGCCGCGGGTCCTCCGCCAGGCCCCGCCCACTGGCCACGCCCCCGCGGGGCTCCGCAGCCCCTTCCTGGGCTCCGCCCATCGGTCCCGCCCCGCCCCGCCCACAGCCCCTCCAGGGCCCCGCCCACGGCCTCTCCCGGCCCCGCCCACAGCCCCTCCAGGGCCCCGCCCACGGCCCCTCCCGGCCCCGCCCACCGGTTCCGCCCCCGAGGTCTGAAGCGGGCCCCGCCCTGGAGGCTGCTGTGGGGGAATGGTCCTCTGGCGCCCGGCTGGCCTCGGAAGCCCCCGCGGTTCGTAGAGCTGATCCCTGGCAAGTTGGTCCTTTTGGGCAGCACCTGGAACCAAAGGCTCAGTCCGTCTGGGACCCCTGTTCTTGGACCCGTCTCCCCAGAGCAGCTAAAAATCCAGTGGAGGGCAGAGCCCGAGGCTAACGCTGCCTCCAGGAAGCCTTCTTGGGTTTCCCTGCTGCAGGCTCACAGGCAGGCATGCACACGCCCCAGCGCCCGCCAGCCCTTGCAGCAGTAATCCCCAACCCGCAGCTCCTGGGCATGGAGCTCTGTCTGGGGCCTCAGCCCCTAACCGGTTTCCTCCAAACCTTCTTAAAAGTACTGCTTAGGCCCAAACTGTCCAGCCAGAGACACGGTCAGGCGATGTGTCCCTGTCAAGCCAACGCCTTCCAAGGGTCCAGCTGCGGAAGGGAGCCTCCCAAGGCCACATCCGGTCCGGGGGCACCCCCACCCTGCTCCTGCCGCCCAGGTGTGCCCAGAGACACTGGGGATTGGGGAAGGGTCGGGCTGGGGCAGCTCTGTGTCTTGGCTTCCCTGCGCGGCCTCTCCTGGCCCCTCCGGGATCAGGGGGTTCACGTGGGGGAGCCCGGGCTGCAGGGGGCGCACCTTGATGACGCGGCCTCGGAAGATGCTCTCGTCGAGCTCCACTGCAGCCTGGGCTGCGCCCTCGGCAGCGAACTCTACGTAGGCGTAGCTGGGGCGGGCGGGCAGGGCGGGTGAGGGCCACCCTGGGGTGCCCAGGCTCCCGCCGGACCCCAGGGCACCCGGCCCCTCCCGGGGCCTCCTCCCTGAACCGCACCCCCCCCCACGGGCTGCCTGGCCCTGACCCCTTGGGGTGTCCGGAGAGCTTGTCGCAGAGGATGGTGACTCGGTGGACCTCCCCGCAGGGATTGAAGTAGGCCTCCAGCTCCTCAGCCGTGCCCCCGTAGTCCACCTGCCACAGGCACGGGCCCGGTGGGGGCCCCCACAGCACGTTTTCTCAGCCGAGCGGACCTCAGGGTGGGGCAGTCAGGGGGGTCTCTGTCCCCCACCCCTGTTGGGGGCGGGCTGGAGACAGAGATGTATGCCTCCCGTGTGTCGGCAAAGCCCCAGGTGTATTCGGCCTGTCCAGACAGCATGTGGCTTTTTGAAGTGGCATCTGTTGCTGATGACTGGCCAACTGGAGATTTCAGGTGGGAACCCTGAGCCCCGGGTCACGCTGGGAAAGCAGAGTACGAGGCCCCGGGGCCCAGGTTCCCCCCGCTTCTCCCCTCCCGCACCTGGGTCCCTTCCTTTAACCCCAGGGCCAGGAGGAGGTGGCAGATCCCAAGGGCCCACCGCAGGGGCCCCATCTTGCCCCCTCCCTGACTCACATTCCCCACATAGACGGATCTGTGGTCTGACTCCACCTTCTCCACAGGGAGCCCGGGGCAGGTGCAACCTACAGAGAGGGGGGGCCTCACATTTGTGGCTCATTCCTCTCTGCTTGCGGGAAGAGGGCCACCCCTTGGGACTGTTCTGGAAAGGGAAGCCCCGGCCCCGCGAGCTGGCACTGCGCCCACAGCAGCTGCAGCCCGTCCAGATGACAGAGAGGAGGGGCTCAGAGCCGCGTGCCGGGACCAGTGGCCCCCGACCAGGGAAGGGGCCGGCCTGGCCCGCGGGCGCCTACCTGCCTCGGGGCTCAGCGGCTGGCTGGCCAGCGCGGCCCCGGCCCCCTCCTGGTGCCCCGCCAGGGCCCGCGCCCCGGGCGGCTCCGGTCCTTGTGCGCGCTCCATGGCCCACAGCCGCAGTTTGATGGCCTCCAGCTCCTGCTAGCAGGGCCCCAGGTTGAGCCCCGAGGCGGCGCGGCCCCTCGGCTCCTCTTGAGGGAGGGCAGGGGGGAGCAGGCCTGACCGTGCCTGTCCTCAGGGTCACTGGCTCCGCAGGGACAGGCTGGGGGGGGGGGTCCTGGAACGGGACCGGGAAGCCCACCTGGACTCGGGCCGTTGTCCCACCCGTCCTTGCAGGGGTGGGCAGCCCACTACCCTCTTCCAGGCCGGGGGACAGTGGCCTGGGAGAGGTCGGAGCTGCAGCCGTCGGTCCCGTTGAATCCAGGTCCTGGCAGCCTCTGCTGGGCTCCGCGTGCTGTTACCTGGTCAGGTTCCGGGTACTCGGCCAGGTCCTCCCCCTCCAAGGGAGGCAGGGGGAGGCCTGCGTCTTCCGGGTCGTCCTCCGCCGGCGCCTCCTCCTTCCCGGCCCCATCCCCCGGCTCCGGAGGGGGCTCCTCGGCCCTGCTCCAGGCCCCCCAGCCCTGGGCCCCAGGGTCCGAGGAAGCCCTTTGCAGCCAGGCCTGGGTCGGGGGTGGGAAGAGAGTGTGGCCGAGGAAGGGCCACATGGCCGGGCCGAGGGGCAGGCGGGCCAGACCTCGGTCTCTCGCACTAGCAGCTGCCCTCACCCGCCCCGCGTTTTAAGCCCCTCCCCAGGCCAGCTGCTCCCACTAGAGGAGGCTTCCCGCAGGGCCGCACTTCCACGCCGGCTTCTGGGCCGCCCGCTTCCTCCTCACCCAGGCAGGCCCCGAGCACCGGCACTGGGGAGAGACGCGAGCTCCGCCGTGGGCTGGCCACGCTCGCGGCACCTGCTCAGGGTCACAGGTCACAGGAAGGACGGCACAGAGGAGAAGGGGTGCTTCCTGGAGGAGGCGGTGTTTGGGCCAGCTCAGAGGGACTGGCCAGGCAGAGCTGGGGGGGAGGACGGCGTGGCCGGGGGACTCAGCGTGCGCAAGGCCTGGGGCAGGGAGGGCAGGGAGTGTGCCACAGGGCAGGGCCCGGTCCCTCCTCCAGACCCTCCGTCGATTCCCTGCACACACTCCCCTTTCGCGCCCCTCCCCGGGCCACTCACACGAGGCCAGCGTCCTGCCCTGGCCACAGGGCATACGGGCCGAACGCTGGGCAGACCTGGGACGGGCACTGGAGGCCTGAAGGCTGCTCGCCCAGTCCGCTGCTTCTGGGGCCCCTGCTTCTCACTTCTCGCCCCTGGGGGGCGGCCGTGGGCCCTTGTCCCCACGCGCCCTGGTCTCCGTCTGTCCTCGCCGAGCGGCTGCTCTGGCCTCAGCCTGGCGCAGCCGTGCGGAGCTCCCGCTTCATGGTTGCTGTCTTCGTGTCGCGTTTGTGGGGGACTCCTCGGGCACGTCGGCCCGCCCCAGCCCGGAGGCCCCTCCAGGCCTTAGCTAGGAGGTCCATGCTGGGCGAACTGGGGCCTCTTCCCGGGGAGCTGGGAACCGGTCTGTGCGGCCCTGGAGCCGGGACAGCTTGCGGGGGGGGGGGGGGGGGGGGGGGGGGGGGGGGGGGGGGGGGGGGGGGGGGGGGGGGGGGGGGGGGGAAGCTCGTGGGAGCAGTTGTGGCTGCGGCTCAGGCCCTCCGAAGCGGCAGGCCCCCGCCTCCCGGGCCGCCTTCCCTCACTCGCCTGGCTCTGCTCTCCCACGTCCGGGGCAGAGTCCGTAGGCCAGGGGTGTGAGGGGCTGCTGTGGTCCCGCACGCACGGCCTCCAGCCGCCGCACCTCTGCAAGGGCCGGCACCTTGCCCACCACACCCGCTGTGCCCGGCGCTGCACAGCCACGGGCACTTACACGGGCATGGCTCCAGGGGGCCCTGTCGCTACCACACCGCTGTTTCCAGGAAGCCTTCCTGATTGCTCCTCCTTTCTCCTGTGGCCATGGCGCCAGGCCTCCCCCCCACCCCCGGCTGTAGATCACCCCCCCAGGTCTCCCCAGGCCAGGGTGCCTCAAGGGCAGCATCCACAGCTGGCTGGGTGTGTGGCCACTGGCCATCTTTCTCCTGAAGCTCGAGGTAGTCAGGTCCTCTCCCTCCTGCAGGCCCCAGGCCCTTCCCTCCACCACCACGTGGGAGGCGGAACACCACAGTGGCCGTGTCCAAGCCAAGAGCCGGCTGGACTCCGGCCGGGCCCCTGGCCAGCCTCCCTCTGAGCGCAGGTCTCTGCAATGGAAAAACGCTGTCACCCTGCTCCCTGCTGAAAGCGCTGACACACCAGGCCCAGCTGGGTTCGCGCCAGCCGCCAGCCGCGGAGACAGGCCTGCCCCGTGCTGGCCTTTCCAGTGACGCCTTTCAAAATACATCGTGTTCCAAGCCTGAGCCCGAGGATTAACAACAGCCCTTCCTCGCGGGGGCTGCCAGCAAACCGGGAGCGTCGAGTCCCGGGCGTCCGAGTCCGGGAAGGGCCTGACCTGGAGGCCAGGACACCGTGGCTGTGACCCCTGGCTCCTGGGGCCCAAGGTGTCCCTTCCCTCGGTGTTCACCCTTAGGGTCTTGTGGGATGTGCCTGGCACTGCCACGCGCAGTGGGCTTGGGGTCCCTGAAGCCATGGGTGTCACCTGGGGTCCAAGGTCATCCAGGTCATCTAGAGGACGCGGCCTTTGAAGGTTCACCCCACTTGGCAAGAACACGGGAGGCTGTGGGTGGGCCCTGCCCGGAGCTCCACTCCCATTGACACCCCAACTCAGGTCGCCCCCAAGGCCAGGGCCCCGCCCCTCGCGCTCGGCCCCGAGGCCGCCCCCAGTACTTGCCTGGTGAGTAAACACCCAGAACCAAGGAGAGGCACAGCCCTGTGGTGGCAAATGTCGGCTTTATTACAGACACGGATACCGGACGTGACCTGAGTCACAGTGTCTTACAGCACCCGGGTCACACGGAGCACGTCGGGGGACACACGACAGGGCTGCCACGCCACGGCCCCCGTGGTGCGGAGGGAACCCGCTGTGGGAAAGCGAACCGACGTTTGGCCTGACTCCTTTTGGGGAGTTAAAAAGGAAGAGGAAGACCCGTCCAGTCCCCATGAGGCTGTGGGTGGCTGTGCCCTGGCCCGTGGGGGCCAGCCTGGCCGGACTCCCCCACAACCACGTGGGCAGCAAGGGCGCCCCCCCCCCCATATGTAAAAAACAGGCTCCAGTTTGAGTCCAGCTGCATTGCTGCTACAGCGGGTCCTCGGGTGGCACTCCAGGGGCCAGCTGGACAGAAACAAAAAGGAATAGAAAGTATGCACGATGGAGGTTTCCAGAACTGGTGGGAGCAGATAGGTGCTGCTGCAGGCGCCCAGGCCTTCTCTGGGTGGGTGGAGGTCAAGGTGCCCTGGCCCAGCTCCTCGTGCTGCTTTCTCCTGCAGCCGGACCCGCATCTGGGGTCCCAGCCCCATGTTGGAAGATGCCCCTTGTGGCATGGGGGACTGGGGGAGCTGGGCCTCTAGTGTCCCAGAGAACATCCCCCCACCATCGACCAAGTTCAGCTTGTCAGGGTCTGTCCCCCAGGGTGAGAAGAGCAAGCCGCGAGCACCTGGGGCGAAGCAGGAGCGCTGGGCACTCTCTTCCCCCTCCCGCGCCTTTCCTGACGGCACCTCCTCCAGGCAGTGACCCCTGGAGACCAGGACAGGAGAGGCCGGCCTGCCCCACAACGCTGGGGTCTTGCCAGGGAGTGTGCTCACCCCGACCGGGGGCCCTGTGTGTGGGCCACCTCCCGGTGAGCGCCCACGGCCCCCACACGTGCCAGGCAGGCCCAGCCCGGCCAAAGCTATTGCTGGGACATTGGTCCAGCCTGCTCCAAATGCCTGTGGCACAGCCTCATCTGTCCCTGGAGCGGGCCTGGACCAGTAGCTGAGGCTCTGGGGGAGGCCGGTGGCACCCACAGGCAGATTCCTTCAGGGCGGTTAAGGTCATGGGAAGACCCGAAATGCCCTTGTAGCTTTGGAACACTGAGGGCCTTGGTGGATGGAGAGGTGGACAGGGAGGAACGGACCGAGGCCTGGCTGTGTGGGTGAGACTGGAACGAATGGACAGGTGCCTGTGTGGTACGTAAAGGGGTTAATGGTGGAGAGACAGGTGGTGAGTAGGTGAAAGTATGAACGGAGAGGGTGGAATCAAGTGACAGCTGGGATAGAGTAATGGCTGGACACGTGGATGGGCAGGTATTTGGCTGAATGGGTGAGTAAGTGGGTGGATGAGTGGGTGAATGGATGGGTTGAGAGATGGGTGAATGGATGGATGGATACCTGGATGGGGGGTGGATGGAGGTGGGTAGATGGATGGATGGATGGGTTGGAAGATGGATGGATGGATGGATGGATGGGTGGATGGGATGGGGGAGGGCCAGATGACTGGATTGGTCAGAAGAGTGAGCTGATGAAAGAAAAGAATCATGAAACAATTATAGGTTGGCTGGCGAGAGTCGCCTGGAACAGTGAAGGAGCTGTTGTGTCATTCTGAGGATATATTTGGGGAGCCTGGCAAACAGGAGAAAGTTGAGGCCTGTCCTGACCCCTTCCCACCTCTGTCACTGGGACGAAACCAAAGCCAACACCTGGCCCCTCTCCTGCCACCGACCCTCTAGGGGGTTTGATGAGTGGCCCCACCTGGGGGCACCCAGGGAAGCCACTGCCCGGGCGTCTAGCTCCTCCTGTCCTGTGGCCCTGAGCGTCCCGGACCCCCAAGGGTTCCTTTGGTCCTGGTGAGCTGGTGGAGCTGGGGACCCTCTGTTCAGAGAGAGTCTGGGGGTGCCCGTCTGTTTACCCGTGGGGTAGGAGGCACTGCCACCCCCCGACATCACCTGGGGACAGTGACATGTCCTAGGATGGGAAACCAGGAGATGGAGGAGGGGGTGGGGGTGGAAGGGAGGGTCTAGGGTGCCGGCATCCATTCCGTTGTCCCCTCACCCTCCGTCTGTCATAGGTGGCTTGGCTCTGTGGACTGGGGAGCCCTGGCTGCCACTTTGCCTGCCCGCCTCAGTCCACCTTCCTGTGGCAGCTGTGGCCTCAGAACAGTAGAGGTGCCGCTCTGGTTTGATTTGGGTGGAAGGAGGCTCTAGGAGAAGCTGAGTCTCCCCGGGCGGCCGGGCCACCTGCGTGTCTAACCCGACAGTGGCTGGGGGGGGGGGGGGGGCCCGGGGGGGGGGGCCCGTGCACGCAGCGCCGCTGGGCTACGGTTTATAAGCTCGGGAGGTGGCAGGGCAAGACAGCCTCTGACACAGAGCAGGGGCCAGCTCTGCCTGTGTGGGGTCCCCTCTTTGCACGAGAGGCAGGCGCACACCCCGTGCCCCGCCCCCAGTCCGGCTCCCAGTGCAGAAACTGCCTGCCCCCCCCCCCCCCGCAAAAGCTATCCATCCGCGTTTGGTTCCGCTGTGAGGTCTTTGGCCGACTGGGGCCTGAGCACAGCGACCGAGGGGAACACGGGCCCCCGAGTGGCACGTGCCAACACAGCACTTACCAGGCCCTCCCCCTCCTGCCCACCTGGCCGCAGTCCCCGATGCCCGCAGGGTCCACCCGGCAGCCTGTGCTGGGCCCTCCATGCCCGGCTGCGGCAGCCCCCGTGCGTGGTGGCTTCCTGACGTGTGGGACACAAGTGTGGGAACCACACCGGGAAGACAGCTTGAGGGTGGCTGAGCTCTTCCCAACAGCTAGGGAGGGAGGGGCTGGCCCATCGGGGCCCCGCAGCCTGTGGCGTGGCTGGGACGCCACCGGCCGGCCGGCATGCTTTCTCTGATGTGTCCGCTTGTCCCCGAAGGTCCCCTTGTGAGGGGAGGCAGACAGGCTCGCTCCTCCATGCCCCGCCTCAGACCAGTGGCCCAGCCCGGTCCTGATGTCAGGGTCATGAGTCCTCGGGGCCTTCGATCCGCTCACCCAGACCCCGCACCCCGTACCCCGGACAGACGCTCTTCATAGCCAGCCACTCACCGGCACAACCTCGGGGAACAGGGTCCAAGAGCCCCCCCCGCACAGTGCACGTCCGAAATCACTGTTTTAAGAGGTCGGATGCTCGCCGAAGAGAAAGTCGGGAGCCTGGACACGCCAGGGGAGGCCCCGACTGTCCCATCAGGAGCCCAGACCCCAAACCGGTCCTCGCTTTTCTGAAACCCCCAAAAGCAAACCCCTGACGCGTCCACAGACCCGTGGCTGGAGCCTGGGGAAATTTCCAGAGGATAGGATGGGGCCCTCTCGACTTCGAGAACTGGGTTCTGCTGCGAGGCGGGTGTGGGGCGGCGCCCGGCCTGCGGCAGCTGGACGGAACCCCGCCTCTCGGTACCGAATGAGGGACTCTTACAACCTGACAGACTCACAGCAGACAAGCCCACTGCTCCCACAGGACACGGTTCCGATTTCCTTGAAAACCTATTTCCTAAACTTTATATGCTTCCGTAGTTTCTCTTTTTTATTTGGCAAACATCCCTTCATCCTTCACCACGAACATCATTATTTGGACCCCTGCAAGGACTATGTACATTCACATTAACGTATGACGCCGTCGACTTCTTGCCTCGGGGCGGGGCCCCCAGGAGCCCGTTTCAGTAGCTGGCCGCTCCCCGGATTGCACTGCAGTCCCGCGGGTCTCTCAGCGATGCAAGAAAATGCCAGACTGTGGGACGAGTCCTCCCACCGAGTACACGTGAGGCTTTCCTTACGCCTTCATCTCCTCGAGATCACGGGGCGGCTGAGTGGGGCGAGGGCACGGGGCTGGGGGACGAGAGAGCGCCTCCCCCAGGAGCGGCTGGACAGGGACGCGGGTTATATACAGCTGACCGAGCCTCCGGCAGGTGCGCTGAGAACAGACCTTTCTTGTCTGTAGCTTTTCTTCTATTTCTGCAACAGCGTGAAGAGAGGGGAGCAGGTGCGGCCGGGCCGGCCTCGCGGTGGGGGGAGAGGTAGAGGAGAAGCGGCAGTCACAAGGCCCAGTTGCTGTCTCCTGCTGCTTCGAGAAGCAGTCAGGAATCAACCCGAAAGATTGTCACAGTTTTGTTTCGGAATTCTTCTCTCCTGGGAAGGACACGTTAGCGCTTTCTCACAAGTGGAAAACATGCAACGTGATGAAAAGTCACAGAGGGCGTGAGGACAGTCGGGGGGGGGGGCCCTGCACGCATGTCCACGCGGCGCTGGTGCGCCCAGCGGAGGCTCTGCCGTCGTGGGAAAGAGACACGCTGCTTCTTGTCGGGCGACGCCCTCCAGACCCCGGTCCCCCGCACCCCAAACACAGAATCAAGGCGAGCGAACAGGACACAGGTGAACAGATCCAGGAGTGGGGGGAAACCGTGGGGAAGCTACTTTGGCAGTGACAAAAACATCTTGGATTCTGACTTTTTGTGTTTGCTTTTTGGATTTCCTTTGGAGCAGAGGTGTGTCCGGCATCCTTGGCTGGCTAGCTGGCAAGGTAGCTTACAGGTGTGCTTCCTTCCCGGTTTTTAAAAAAACTTTTTGGATTTCTACTTAAAGCCAAAGAGTTTGACATTAAAAAGAAAAAAAAAAATCTGAAACCAAAATATGTTTCTTGAGTTGGAAATTGAAACCTTTTTTACCGTCTTCACCGCATTGGCCACACGGCCCCGGGGTGGCTTCCGTGTCACGGCGGCTCAGACCTCCAGCTATGAAATGACAATTTCCTGTTTCCCTTTTTAATGGGGAAGGGGACAAAACCCCCATTTTCTGTGTCCATTTCTGAGTAGTTCTGTTCCACAAAACCCCCCAAAATTCTTCACCGAAAATATAATCCACCAAACAATTAGATTTTTTTCATTAAAGAGAGAGTGTGTGAAAGTCAGAGACAGAAGAACGGGAGCACGTGAGGGCGGCAGGCGGAGCCGGGCACGCCGGCCACGGCCACGGCCACGGCCGCCCTGCTGCCTAAAGCTTGGCGGGAGGTTTCTGAGGATGCTCGAGGTCGCGGCCGGGGGCGGGGGGGGGGGGGCCGCCAGGTTGCTGAGGAAGTTGCGTTGATGCAGTTTTTGTCGGTTCCGTTTTCTTTTGGAGAGAAGCGGTAGCAGCAGCGGCTCGGGCCAGCTCCCAGGGGGCCGGGGCCGGGCGGGGCCGGAGGGCGCGGTGGACCCCATGGCGGGGGGCCCGGGGGTCAGCGGGGCGCGGCGTCCAGGGGCCCGGGAGGGCCGGGGGAGCCGGGGCGGGAGGGCCCCGCGGAGCTGGCCTCGCTGGGGCTGGCGGCTCCCGCGGGCAGGCAGGGGCCCAGGCTGGCGGTGGCGTCGGGCTGTCCGGGCCCCGGGTCGGCCACGGCGGCCACGGGGCCCTGCAGGCTCTGGCCACACACGTGGTGGTGCTTCTCCCAGTCCTTGTGCTGGCAGAAGGAGCCGCAGTAGCGCGCCGCGTTGCAGCCGCTGCAGGTCTCGCTGGCCTTGCGCCCGCAGTTCCAGCAGCTCTGGAGGAGGGGGGACACGGTCAGGGGGCCACGGCGCGTGCCTGGGCCCGGACCCCAGAGGACGCAGGCCGGCCACAGACTGGGCAAGCACACGCTACAAACAACCCCACGGGGACCCGGCCACGCATCACAGGGTGAGAAGAGAAAAGCCTGACCTCACCACAGCTCGTGGGCGGCCCTCGGCGGACACGGCCACTCGGCTGGGCCATCCTGGGGGGCGGGCTCCCGCCACGGAGGCACACGGCTCTGGCCCGCTCCAGACAGGGTTATGCTGAGTTTACAGGACCATGGGGTCCTCATAAGGGAAGGCAGCCACAGGCCCCTCCTCTCTTCCAGGGAGTCCTCCTGGCCTCACCTGGGCTCCAACCCCAGAACGTGGCAGCCCTGGGCAGACAGAGACTGCCCGGCTCCGACGTGGGGTGGGCTGCACGGCCAGGCCTGCCTCAGGCACGCCCTCCCTCGCTCCTGTCCCGTGGAACTAGCCGTAACCTCAACCACCCGCCGGGAGAAAGGCCCGGTGTCTAGCCTGCCACCACAGCCTCCTTGGCTTCCTGGCTGGCTCTGCACGGCCACGCTGGCCTCCTGGTGATCCTCACGCAGCCAAGAGCGTCCCCGGCCTCTGCCCTTGCTGCTCCCTCCTCGGGGTGGCACTGCCCCCCAAGATTCCCGCCTGGCTGGCTCGTCTCCTCCAAGACTCCGCTCCCATGACTGCTCGGGCACCTTCCCTGCACCCGCCCCTGTGAGGCGTGCCCGTCCTGCCCTGCTGCCTCCCCGGAGCCCACACTGTCTGCTGGAGCAGCGAGAGCTGACTCTCTGGGCTGGCCCAGCCACACACCTACCCGGGGGCTTTGGAGATGTGTCCCGTCCCAAAGGGCAGTTCTAGGACCCCCTCCTGGCAAAGCTCCCTCCCCTTCCCTGACTTCTCTGACATCGAGTCCTTTTCGGACAAGGACCTGCCCTGCCCTGCCCAACCCCACCTGGCATCGGATGCCCGGGCGCCAGCACGATGATGGCTCACGGCCCCGCCACAGTGCCACGGCACGCCTCAGTGCCATACTGAGGAGACAGTGGGGATGCCCCCTGGGGTCTCCATGCCCCTCGCGCCTGCCGGGGTCACAGGTTAGCGAGGGCTTCAGAGTCGGCCAGCGAGGTTTGAATAAGGGCCTGTCACTTCCTAGGACGCAGCCTAGAGCAAGCCACCTCCCCTCTGGGGGCCCCCAGTGTCCCCTCTGCATGATGGGGATGCCCACAGCACCCGCCTCTCCGGCTGCCCAAGGTCATGAGGCTGGGAGGCGACGGGGTGGGGGTCCAGGGCCTGGACCTGGAGGTCGGGGATGGAGTGACTACCTCGCTGGAGTCCTCCTGCTGGTTGATGACAGTCAGGGCGTCTTCCGAGGCCTGCCGCCGAGCCTCCGCCAGGGCCCTCTCCATCTTGGCGCGCTCAGTGCTGATGAGCTCGTGGGCCTTCCGCTCGGCGTCCGACACTGCTTTTTGCAGCTCGGACATCGCCTGCCGCTTCACCTCATTCACAGCCTCTTCTGCAAAACACACATGGGCCTTGGTCGCGTGGCCCGGCCCACCTGCTCTCCCAGGCCTCCCTTGCTGTGGGCGGGGCCTGAGCACCGGTGACCCGGCATGTGCACGCAAGCGTGGCCGTGGGGGCGTCTCCCAGGCCTGCATCACCCCGATGTTCCCACCCCTCAGGGTGCGGTGGTACTGCCCTGGAGGGCGGGGCCAAGCCCACCCCTCACTTGGGGTCAACGGGCTTGGGGGAGGCCGAGAACCTGTGTTCCTAGCAGGTTCCAAGTGATACCGATGCCGGGTCTCAGCACCCACTTTGAGAACCGCTGCCCTACTTTTGCCCCGCCAGCAGTCAGCTTACCCGTGGCCCATCTAGAAGATTCTGGGGGGCACCCCGTCTAGGCCTCTGCATTATCACTCCCACAGCCCTCTGTCACCCCATGTCATTGCGTCTGGCCTGCTGACGTCCGCGGAGAAGCGTGCTGTTCAGAGCTGAGCCAGAGCACCTGCTCCGACCGCACTGTGGTCCCCAACCCTGGGAGCTACTCACAGCTGCTCCCACCTGCCTCAGTTTACCTGGCAGTGCCCTCTGGCAGTGGTGTGGGAGGATGGGGTGGGATTAGCGGGGCTCCCCTGTGTGGCTGAGCTGCTGGCAGCCAGGTCCCCACTTGAGCTCGACACACTTGTCACCAGGGGCCCCCAGGGGCCAGGCGGAGGCAGAGGGGACAGGCTGAGGGAAATGAGGATCCCAGCCCCTATCCAGGCCTGTGCCCTGCCCTGTCTTGCTCCAGGCAGCCGCTGCCTGTCTGTGGCCCCTCAGCCTCCAATGTCCCACTCGCTCTGCACCCCAGGCCCTGAGTTTTCTCCCTTTTCCTTATACTTCATACTGACCCATCCACTAATCAGAACGTATCTGGGGGCCCGCTGCTCCTCTCCACTGCCACCTCAGCTGAGCGCCCCCCTTTTTTCTCAAGCTGCCCATTGGTTCCCGAAGTCTGTCCCCATGAGGTGATGAGCGTCCCCCGTGACATGGCCGTGGCACTGTGCTCGATGCCACACCCGGACGCCCACGGGCACTCCCTGGTGCCTCTCACTGTGCATCCGTGTACGTGTGTGCACGTGCAGGACCCAGGGACCCGCGCTGTCCTGCTGCAGGTGTCTGGTACACACGCGTGGTACCCAGAACACTCAATGCACCCCACCCCCTCCTGCAGGGTCTGGGACCCCCTCCAGCAACCCCCAGGCCGACCCCACTCACCAGCCTTCCTCCAGATCTCCTCGGGCACGTAGCCAGAGAGGGTCCTGGGCATGAACTCCCGGTGGGGGTCTGAAACACAGGGGTGCCAGCCTCATGCACAGAACGGGGCCACGTCCCCTGGGTAATGGGGGCGTGCTGTGTCCTGGGGGGGGGCATGGGGGGGGCAGGGCGATGCCATGATGGAGGTGCTCTGGGTGGAAGCAGCATGGATCCAGCTGGACCTGGGCCTTGGTGGATCTGTCTTGGATTCCACCGTCATCATCCAGAGCGAGTGCAGACCCCTGGGGGCCCCTGGCTGCTGGCACCCTGAATCTATGCTTCCCTCTTTATGCACAATGCAAAAAGCACATCCCTTCCAGGGAAACGCCTGGGTTGTGCTTTATCGCCCTGAGTGCCAGAACAGGGGTGCTGGCCTGGGTCTTCAGCGCCCCTGCGGTACACCTCCCACCTCCACTCCCCCTGACGCCCCCTGGGCACGCACCTAGCTGAGACCCGTCTGTAGCCACGGAGCTGTTGAGGGGCCGGGCGGTGGCAGGCCCGGGGCCCTTCTTGGTGTCCTCGGTGTCACTGTAGCGCCGGACCCAGCGGCTGAGCTCCTCGCGGTCAGCTTCCTGGCACTGGCGCAGCACCGTGAGGGACCGCCGCGTCTTCTCAGCCATGTCCATGATGCAGTTCAGAAGCTGCGGGCAGGCAGTGGCCGTGAGCGTGCGGGGCAACGGCCAAGGGCCTTTTACCAAGGGGGGGGATGACCACGCTCTCAGGGAGGTCTGTTCCAACACAGGGGCGGGGGCTCTCTTTTCAGCCGTCCGGGCTGTGCTCTGCCCTGGGGAGCACACCTGCCTGGGCTCCCTTCCCACGAAGGCAGCAGGGGAGATATGACCCTGGAAACAGCGTTGGAGGAGTCCCAACGCCAGGCCAAAGCCCCTCTCTCCTGGAGACAGAGCTGCTCTTCAGGGGCAGAGCAGGGAAGGTTCTGAGGGGCTGCCCAGAAGCAGAGGGCAGGCTGAGGTGCGCAGGCCCGAGCTGAGCCCGCACAGAGCCTGACCCCCCCCACCCCGCAGCACAGGGGTCCCACAGGCTAGGCAGAACCCCAGGAATCGGGGCGGTGCCGTGGCCCCTGGACACTCACGTTGTTGAGGTGCTTCCACTCCTCCGCCCACTCCCGCTCCGTGAGGCGGTGGTCGATCACTTCTTCCTGCCGGGACCCGTGTACGGCTGCAGGGTGGTGTGGACGCTCAGGCCCTGCTCCTTGTCTCAGACCCCGCCCATGTGCTCCAGGCCCCGCCCCGTGTCCCAGACTCCGCCCATGTCCTCCAGACCCTGCTCCTTGTCTCAGACCCCTCCCCTGTCCTCCGGGCCCCGCCCCGTGTCCCAGACCCCGCCCATGTCCTCCGGGCCCCGCCCTGTGTCCCAGACCCCGCCCATGTCCTCCAGGGCCCGCCCATGTCCTCCAGGCCCCGCCCTGTGCCCCAGACCCCGCCCATGTCCTCCAGACTCCGCCCATGCCCTCCAGACCCCGCCCATGTTCTCCGGGCCCCGCCCATGTCCTCCAGGCCCCGCCCTGTGTCCCAGACCCCGCCCCTGTCCTCCAGGCCACGCCCCTCACCCCCAGGCACTGTCTCACGCTCCCCAGGCTCTGCCCCAGGCCCTCCGGGTCCTGCCTTGTGCTCCCGGGCCTGGCCCACCACCAGGAAAGTGGGCAGGGTGAGCAAGGGGACCCTGGGCACTGACCCTCTGTCCCCTGCCTTTAGGGGCAGGTCAAGAACAGGCCTGGCGTCTCCTCAATGCTTGGGGGCAACAGGCCGGTCCCAATCCCTCAGTCTAGCCTGGGCCACGCCTCCCCCACCTCCCTGCATCCCAAGCCAGCACCTTCGGTTTCCCTGCCCCCGCTGCGGCGGCCCCAGGCCTCACCGTGGGGGCCCTGCCACTCCTCAGCAGCCCGCAGGGGCTCAGTGGTGGCTCACAGCGCGTGCAGCGCTCCCTCCTGTGAGTCGGGGCTTCTGCACATCCCTCAAAGCCCAGGTGCCAGCCCCTCCTCAGCAGCCCTGAGCCCCTCGCACGTCCGCCTGTCAGACGCTCCCGGCGGCTTCCCACGTATCCTCAGCCCCCCAGCTGGCAGTCCCCAGGGCAGGGCGGCCGTGTCTCCAAGTGTGGTCCCCTGGGGGACAGTGGGGGCTGGGAAACCAGAAGCCCCGACACTTGTGCCCCACGGGCCCCGGGCCCCTCACCTCCCCATGCTGTGTCCCCGCTGCCCTGCCCTGCCCGCCTTCCGGGGCCCGGAGGAGGCCTTCAGGAGGTGCAAGGAGGGGAGGGCCCCAGGTGCCCAGTGCTTCACCCCCTTCTGCCGCCTCCGGGGGAGGTTCTATTATTCCATCCTACAGACGAGAACACTGAGGCTGGCTCTGGGGATGTGATTGCTCAAGGTCACCCAAGGTCAGCCCAAGCCGTAACGAGGCGAAACAACGGGGCGCCCCCTCCAGCCTGGTAACGAGGAACAAAGCAACCCTGAACTGAGGAGTTCGTGCCAAGGCAAGGGCGTCTGGTTGTCCTCATGCGATTCTTTTGGCACATCGGATGCTCTGGGCCCCACGCAGGCATGGGTGTCCCCACCCTGGTGCGGCCTCAAGCCCGTGCTGGGTGACCCAGAGCCGACCGACGCTTCCAGGGCCGAGACCCCCCGGTTCAGGCCTCTTCCAGCCCCCGATGGCCTCCTAGCCGCCAAACGTGCCACGCCACCTCCAACTGCAGAAGGGGCGAGGAGCCACCAGCGGGACCCGGGCCTGCGCCAACGCCCCAACCAAAATAGTGGCTGAGCCCCGCCGGACAGCTGGCGTTTATTTTTGCGTTAGCAGAAGCGGGTGGGAATTAGCACCTGCCCGACCCGGCTGCGGGGAGCCAGACGCTGTCACCTGCTGCCTGGGACCAGGCCCCGGAAGCTTCCGCAGGGTGGGGGCGGGGAAGTGGCCTTGTACAGGGCAAGGCCTCTGCTGACCCTGCCTCGGGGCCCCCTCTGGTGCCCCGGGACTCGCAGGGACATGGCTACGGCTTCGGGCACGTGAACTGTGCTCTCTGGGCCTCCTCGTCTGTGACGCGGGCCTGCTGATGCACCACACACACACACACACACACACACACGGCGCGATGTAACAGGTGAAGGGTGTGATGCAGGCGGGGGGCACTGGCACGAGCAGGGACAGCGGTGTCCCCCTGGATCCGCTGACGGAGAATGAGACCGAGGCAGAGGTCACAGGACCCAGCAAGGACGCGCGGTGGGGACCTGGTGAAGCTCAGTCCCTCTGTTCCCGGACAGCCTGGCTCCCGCACCTCCTGGCTCTGTGCGCAGCTCACCCACCGTTAGGGGCGCTCACACTTGGTGCTGTGAGGCTCGTCCGCGCCCTGCTCGGACGGCAGCACGGGTGTGTGTAGTCAGGGGCGCTCAGGGAGGGCTCATGGGTCTTCCCCTGGGGCGCCCCGGGGCCGTGGCCACAGTGCCTGGGACCTGGGAGACTCCTCACGTGCCCACCCTGCCGCACGGCGGTCTCTTCCTGGCTGGCCGTGACCCCGCCCCCCCCCCCCCCCCCGGCCACGCAGGGGCCCCTGCACCCCAGAGAGCCGCGTGCCCCCTGGCTCTGCCCCTGCCCCTCCCTGAGGGTCACAGCCCAGCCAGGGTGGGGTTTCCCGCTGGGCCCCAGGGCCCCCACACCCGTTTCCTCAGCATCCTTCCTGGACGGACAAGGTCAGGAGTGTCAGCGAGCCCCCCCCCCACACTGACGCGCACGTCGCAGCCCTCCCTCTGCTGCTCCCCCAGCCGCACGCGGGCACGAGTGTGCAAGCACACGCGTGTGCCCTCCAGCGCTGCTCACCGAGCTGCCGATGGCGCTCCCGCAGCTCCCGGGGCTCGTGGTGGCGGTAGGGGCCACGGAAGTGGTGGGCCATGGCCATGTCCTCCAGGCGGTAGTGCGGTGGCGGCGTGGGCTGCGGCGGCCCGTGGCCGGGGCTGTAGCGCTGGGCGGGGCTCAGGGTGCACGGCCGTTTGCTGATGTGGTCGGGGTGCAGCGGGTCACGGTCTGACCCATTCTCTTTGGTCCTGACCGGAAGAGCAGGCGGGGTGAGGGGGCCGCGGACCACGAGCCCCACAAGCCCCGGACAACAGCCCAGGCCGAGGGGTGAGAGGGAGGCGGGCGTGGGCAGGGAGAGGGGCTCGCCCAGCCCCGCGCCCCCGCTGTCCCCGCTGCTGTGTGGGCTCCTGGGGCCGGGGGTCGAGAAGCCCGAGCCTGTGTGGGGGGAGCGAGGGCACGCGGACTGCCTCCTGCCCCTCCCCCGCCCTCCCGGGGGCCAGCTGCGCCCTCAGCCCTGTGCGGTGGCCTTGCAGGTGAGGCGCAGGGGTCTCAGCCCACGGAACGCGGCCGTGTCGCCATTTCCCGTCAGCCCTGCTACTGGGTGGCGGCCGAGCTGAGGCACCACAGGCAGCGCGGCAGAGGCAGCCCCCCGCCCCCTCCCCCTGTGCGCACCGGTCAGGGGTCGCCCTCTTGCCGTTCTCGTTGACCTCCAGGAGGAGCTCGGAGGAGTCGATGGGGGAGGAGGCGCTGGCGTCCAGCAGGAGCTGCTCGTGCTGGGCCAGGTACTGGGCGGGCGTCTGCTTGGCCAGGCGGGCGCAGTGCAGGAGCTCCCTCTGCAGCACGGGGAGGTTAGCCTGCAGGGAGAGGCGGCTGCGCTCACTGCTGCCCGCGGCCAAGGCACGAGCGGGCAGGGAGGCTGACGGCCAGCCTCGCTGGGCGACTTCAGGCACACCGATGACCTCTCTGAGCTGCAATCTGGGGACGCGGGTGGGACTGCGCCCTGGGGCACACAGTGACTGAGGTGCGGTGGGACCCGGAACCCAGACGCTGGAGCCCCCAGTGGCACCCGGAGAAGGCAAGGGGGCGGGGACCATACCCTGGCTTCCTCGCCTGCGCCCGTGGCAGCAGGCGCCTGTTACCCACGGCGTGGAGGGGAGTGGGCACCCCCACAGCCCCCTGTGACGGGCGGAGGCCCTGCTCTGCCCCCTCCTGCGGGTTCCCGGCCCAGCCTCGAGCAGTGCGGAACCCACACCACGCACGTGACCGGTCACACGTGTCACCTCCCACAGTCTTGCCAACCTATCCGTGGACAGACACAACGTGGTGCCACGTCTACAGGGAGGGACGATACAGCACAGGAGTAGAATGACCCGCCTGGGGCGGGGCCCCGTGCCCCCACCCCCCCATGTGTGCCCGTCGCAAGCGCGCCGCGCCCTCCACACGGCCCCCCCAGGCCCCCCGGGCCGCGGCGGGGGCGGGGCGGGCTGGCAGGGGCCCGGGGGCAGGGCGCTGCCGAGAGCCAGGACTTCCAAGTATTTGTAAATAGAGCCGATCCCCGGCTTTCTCAGGCGTGTGTCCGAGCCGCCACAGCGGCTTCTCCCGCCTCTGCCTCCGCGGTCCCGTGGGCGCGTCCGCCCGGACCATCCAGTGGAGCAGCGCAGCAGCAAGGCGTGGTTTTCTGTTCCGAGAGCTGAGCGGGGGCCAGCTCGCCATCTGTCGAACGTGTTAGGAGCAGGAGCTGGGCAAAGGAGGTCCTGGGAGGTCTGAGGAGGCCAAGCCCCCCCCCCCGCCCCTCCCGCCCGGCCTCCCCTTGGCTGGCTCAGTAGGGTGGGGACCGCACGGGCACCGGCTGGTCGCTGTTAGGGCAGTGGAAACATCTGGATTCCTGGCTGGCTGGGGCCAGCTGGGAGCCGGGGCCGCGGGTGGAGGGCCGGCCGGGTGGGGTGGCAGCTCCCGGGCTCTGCAAGCCCCGCCGTGTGCACACTGTCGGCCTGGGCAGAACTCGGGGGTCTAGGGACGCTTGGGCGGGGAGGGGAGCCCCTGGCCAGAAGCAGCCGGTGGAGGGTGTGAGCACTTGGTCAGAGGCCCTCAGGGGCAGGAGTTCCCCTTCTGTTCCCAGGGCCCAGGGCCCAAGGGGAGGCCCCACCGAGACCAGGGCAGACCTGGTCACGGAGGCCGTGTGGACACCGACCCTGAACCACGTTCTCACGGGCGGGAACCCAGGCCAAAGGGAAGTCAGTGTTCATACAGACGGCTGCAACGGCAGGTCCGCTGAGCCGACGACTCCCCGGGAAGGAGGGGCGAGGGCTTTTCCAAGTCCCTCATCTGGTGTCCATACAGCCTGTGTGTGGTGGGCCCGGCGGTCAGCCCACGTGGCTCTGCTGGGTGACCCTGGGCGAGTCACTTAACTTTTTGCTCGTACCCGGGGGCGACGGGTCCTGTGAGCTTCTTATGAAATCAACTGGCACAAGGGGCGCCTGGGTGGCTCAGTCGGTTAAGCGTCTGACTTCGGCTCGGGTCACGATCTCACGGTTTGTGGGTTCGAGCCCCGCATGGGCTCTGCGCTGACAGCTCAGAGTCTGGAGCCTGTTTTGGATTCTGTGTCTCCCTCTCTCTCTGCCCCTCCCCGGTTCACGTTGTCTCTCTCTCTCTCAGAAATAAAACATTAAAGAAAAAAAAAAGAAATCAACTGGCACATCCCTGCCCTTGCGAGGGGTCACCGTACCCCCGGTCACATGGGAGGGGCTGAGACCCAAGCCCAGAGCGGGCCGCGCCGCCTGCCTCTCCTGCAGGCCCCAGTTCTGAGGCCCTGGTACGGTGGCCTGTGGGTCCCCAGGAAGGTGCCAGCCCCCTGCCAGCCCAGGTCGCAGACCGGAGACGGAGCTGGAGCAGCGGCCGGGCCAGGGCTCCTGCGGTGAGCGGGGTGGGGGCTGCTCCCCAGGCCGGACCTTGGGGCCAGGGCTCCAGCCGGCACCTGGTCACTGCGCCCTGTCAGGGAGATGGACTCTGTGACCTTGTCCAACAGTCTGCTGGCCCGGAGCCGGGGGTGGGGGTGTCACAGACACGGAGCGTGGCTGGCAGCCCCGAAGGCCAGCTGGCCAGATGACCACGAGGGCAATCTAGGCATGGAAGCCCCAGGAGCCCTTTGAGACCACTGTGGGCAGAGGGGAGACGGCGCCAGGAGGCAGCCCGCGTGCGGGGCGAGGCCTGGGCATGTCCCGCGGGCCGGGGTGTGCAGCCCGGCTGGGCGGACGCAGGGGACGCCGGATGTGTCGCGGCCCTGCTCCTCCAGCAAACAAGGGCAGCTGAGCAGGCGGGGACATCTGCTGTAAATATTTGACCTGACGGGATAAGCAGGCGCACTGTGTCCCCAAAGATGGGGAGCGTGGAGTCAGCAGTAAGTGGGAGAAGGGAGGCGAGGGCAGGGCTCCTGGCGACCTGCAAACGGCCGCCAGTCCCCGCTCCGGGCGTGAGCGCAGCAGGCCGTGGGCGGGAGGGCGGGAAGGAGGGCCACACCAAGGGTGCCCTTGACCAGGGGCTGCAGGGAACGAGGTGCAGCCCAGGGCCGGCCCTGCAAAGGCCGGGGGTTTGGAGCCTGGTGGGTCCAGTTCCAGCCCGCCCGGCTCCCCTCCGACGGGGAGCTGTTACCCAGGAGCGGTGCCAGTTCCGGGGCTGCCGCGGGTCCGCAGGGCGTCTGAAGTTCCCCCATATGAGGCCTGACGCGAGCGAGCCTGGGCCACACCCTTCCCAGTGGCCCCGGGGGTGACCTCCACCGTGCGTTAGCAGCAACCGAGTCGGGGGGGAGCCAGCCTGGCCCAGGCCCACGGCGGCTAAGTGGCAGGGCTCCGATCCACGAGCCACGGGTCTAGTCTGTCCTCAAGACGCTCTAAAGGCAGCCCCGCCCAGGGCCCAGCCACACAGCTGAGCAGGGCCCACGGCTGGAGGTGCCACTGCAGGCCCGGGGAAACGGCATCTCCGGAAGCCAGTTCCGTGGAACCCTGATCGCCAGAGGTGCACAGAAGTAATGGGTCACGTGGTCAAATCCACTTGGGGGGTGTTTCACCCTTGCCCTCTCTGGGAGGCTTGTGATCCTCACTACGGAGTAAAGGCCCTGAGAAGTGCTGCAACGGAGAAGCTGGTCCGGGTTTAGAACTGAGTGTGTCCCATTTCCGTGTGCACACGCGTCACCCAGCACCTTGTTAAAATGCAGATTCTGATTCGGGGGCTCGGGGCTGGGGCCCTGGCGTATCCGGCCCACCACCATCTCTTCCCGTGGAGAGGCCCCGGGCTGCTGTTTGCCATGTGACTGGCCACAGGACCCTTGTTTATCCGACACCCATTCATCCATCTGCCTGCCCCCCCTCGCCACCCCCCTCGCCCGTGCCTCCGTCTGCCCTCGGTCCCCGGCCCTCCCTCTGCTCCAGCCACGGGCGGCTCCCTGGTGCTGGCGAGGCTCTGTACCCCGCTGTCCGCGGCTCCCCCCGAGCCCGCACCGGGACGCCCCTCGTCGCCGCAGACCCGTGCCACAGTCGGTCGTCCGACTTTCCTCCCGCCTGGACACCGGCTCCAGGACGGACTCTGCCTGCCTTGCTCCGCAGCGTGTCCCCAAGCCCCACGCAGCACGGGGCACACAGGCGGCGCTCAAACCGTGGCCGCTGAGCGGATGAGCACATCTGACGCAACGCGGGGCCCATCTGGGAGCCCTGTCTTAGAGCCCGGCGTCTGGCGGCCGCTGCTCTGCTACCACGGAGCACCCGCCAGGGTCCCAGCGGGCCCAGGGTGGTGCCCGACCAGAGCGGGCGGGGACGCCCTGGGACTCCGCGGCGGGCCCAGCTACCAGGGGGCCCTCTCGCCCTCACCTTGAGGAAGGGGATGACGAACGGGCGCAGCGGGAAGTTGGTGGCCTCCTGGAGCTTGGAATGGAAGTCCTCGATGGTCAGCGTGGAGTTCTGAGGGAGGGGACACGTCACATCAGGCTGCGCCCCGCGGCCCGCCCCGGGGGGGGGCACGCCCCTCTGCCGCCCGCCCGCTCACCACGAGCCCCAGCACGAGCGTGCGCACGCGCGCGCCGATCTCCGGGGAGATGTCGCTGCCGAACTGCTGCAGGGTGGTGAGGAAGCGCTTGAGCTTGCTGAGCTGCCGCGCCCCGCAGGCCGGGGGCAGCTGCTGCGTGGACAGCGAGGCGGTGCACGAGGTGGCCGGGCCATTGCTGAAGCCGCTGGGTGTGGACGGCGCTCCGTTGACGGCCGTCGGCGAGTGGCTGCCGTTCATCACTGCGGGAAGGAGAGGCGGGCTGACGACGGCGGCGCCGGGCGGCAGAGGCCGTTACGCACGTGCACGCCGGGCCCCGGCTCAGCCCCAGCCCTCTGGCCTTGCTCTGCGGTGGGGACACCACACGGGGACCCCCGTGCCGCCAGGTGGGCGCCCGCTTGCCGCCAGGCCGCACACGTGTCCACGTGAACAGGCCCCAGGGATCTGCTGGTCCACTTCCCCTTTCCGGGGTAGGTGGTCCTCCCTCCCGGAAGGCCGGGGACCCTTGCCTCCACCACGACGACCCCGAGAGGTGCCCCACTGCCTCTGTGAGGGCCCCCATGCCTGGGCGGACAGGGCTGGGGTGGGCCCCTGTGACACGTGGGCGTGGATCCGGCCGGGGAGGCTCTTAGCTGGCCTCACGCGTGGGGCCGTGGGGGGGGGGGCAGGGTCAGCGGAACAGCACCGTCGGCCACCAGGGCCCCGACACTGGGGTCAGTGTCCCGGGGCTGGCAGACACCTGGGACCCCTCTGCAATGTCCTGGGGTCCTGCAATGTCCCCTCTGCAATGTCCTGGGCCAAGACCTCACTCCTCAGTTTCGAGTGACAGAGGGAAAGGCCCCGGAGCCCGAGCCTCGCTGACCAGGGTCTGCGGAGAGGTCAGAGACCGCGGGCCCTGGTGACAGTGGAAGGCGCTCCGGACGTGGGACGCGGTGCTGGCACTTCTGGGAGCCCCGAGGCTGGTCTGATCACCCCGGAGGCCACGCACGCCTTTCCCTTCAGCCCGCCGTCCACACACCTGCTCCAGGAGCCTCTGTAAGTTCACACACGGGGCCCCTGCACGCTCACCGGGCTGCCGCCTTCTGCACACGCATGCACGCCCTCCCTGACGGTCTGAACCCTGCTTCCTCACACGTGCCTTCCACCCCCCACCGCCACTCCCTGCCTCAGCACCCTCGCACACACACGCCATACACACATGAACACATGCGTGCACACGCAGCACACACATGTACTCTCAAACATGCATATGCACGCACAGATATATACACACATTTGCACACATGCAATACACAACACAGACGCGCGCATGCACATTTGCACACACAATTTCACGCGCGCACAGGCACATACATGTTTGCGCGCACACACACTTGTGCACATGCACGCTCGCACACAAGAAGTGCATGCATCTTTGCACACACATTTGTGCACCCACACGCGCGCGCGCACATTTGCACACATATACAGATGCGCACACACATTTGCACACAGAAGCACGCCCACATTCGCACACACGCACGCTTGTACACAGATGCACACATTTGCACAAGACACAATGTGCACGCACACTTGTACACACACACACGCACGCAGATTCGCACACAGGTGCACGTGCACACACACCTCTCTGGCTCTGGTCCACAAGGCCCGTGCCCGTCCCCCAGCCCCCCGCCCCCCGTCCAGCCGGGCCTCTGCACACAGGGCATGCTCTCATGCCCGACTGGGGAGCCCGGGGAGGTGAGCAGCTCAGGGCTGCTGCTGCCTCAGCCAGGGTTTCCTCCGAGGCTCCGGCCACCTCCACCCGCCACTTCCACGGTAGCTGAGACCCGGCAGCCTCGGAGTGCGGGGGCGGGGGATGGGGCTCTGCTCTGAGAAGCAGCCCCCCAGGAACAGCCCGGAGAGAGCGCCTACACTGACGGAGGGGGTGTGAGCTCGCCCCTCAGACTCCGCCTGCCCTGCCCATCCTGACCAGGTGCTGGGAAGCCAGCTCTGCAGACCCCTGGCTCCCCCAGCCTAGAGGGGAAGGCGTGCAGGACCCCCTCCCTGGGCCCCGGGCCTCTGCAGCCCGGGCCGTCCTGGGTCCCGGCCGCCCCCCTCCACGTGCCCTGCAGGCCTCCGGCCCCGGGGCTGCGCTGTCCCCTGTGGGCTCCAGGACCGGCCCGTCCCCTCCCTCCCCCAGAGCCCTTCAGCGAATGCCCTCTCTTAACCCCGAGTCCGCGGGCGGGCTTTGCTCTCCCCAGGCACTTTCCACAACTCCAGCTTCGACGCCTGGCTCCTCCCCGCAGACTGCCGGCCAGTGACACCTGCAGACGCCCGTCCCCGGCTCGCGGGGCCGCACTGCCGACCACGAGCCAGGCACCAATCCACGGGCGGCAAGGCTCCCTAGCATCACGCACGTTCCGCACGGCCCCCGAGGCTGCCTTCCCCCTGCGGGCCGACCCCACACGCAGTAGGCCCCCAGCAGCAGACGACGGCTCTGCCCTGGTGGGCGTGGGCGAAGGCCCCCTGCCTGTGGCCTCACGTCTGCCTGGCCTAGCCCAGGAGGGCGAGACCTGGGCCTGGCCTCAGTTTCTTCATTTGCAGATGGACCCTTGGCCTGAACCAGAGGTGGGGCTTTGGGGCCCGAGGGCTGGTGCCCGGCACCCTGCTGCTCTGCCCCCCCCACCTCCGCCCCCACCCCCCGCCCCCGCCGGGGCTACAGAACATCGTTAACCTTCTACACCCAGAAGGGGCTGAAATGCTTGACCCTGATTGCTTTTGTGTGTTGGGCGATCACTCATCAATAGCAGAGGTTTGGAAAGCGCTGACCGAAGGCCCAAGGACCCCTGTGCGGCCTCCGGGCTGCAGGAACGCGGCCCCAAGTCCTCAGCTCCGCTCTCCCCGCCCCGGGGGACACCAGGCGGTGGAAGCCCGTCTGCCCCCTGCTCTGGACGATCTTGGAGGCACCTCCAGGGCCCAGAAGCATTCCAGGTGCCCCTCGCTCTGCGATGGAGAGTGAGCACCAGGCACAGCACGCGGGCATCGCCGTCCCCACCCTCTCCGAGGTGTCGTCCGGAGGGCCCTCAGAGCGCCTGGAGGCCCGGCCGGGGTGCTAAGTTTCTCTCCCACTGGCGAGCCCAGCCGGCCCCATGGGGGACCCTGACACACACACGCCCTGTTCAAGACAGATGACGGCCACTGGCCATCGCCCCGGCCAGGCCAGGAGGTGGCCTGCTGCCACGGGAGACCTCACCACAGCAGGGGCTCATTCCTCCCAGCAAAGCTGGCCCATCACCCGGGGTCTGGATCTTCTAGAGGCTTCTAAGAGGTGTGGCCGTCTACACCTCCTGGGCCCCCACCCTGTGGCCGCCGTCCCAGTGTGGGCCTGAGCTCCCTGCAGTTTTCTTACCAGCTTGCCCTCGGCGCCTGGGTCCTCCGGCGGCCCGCTTGCCCTCGCTCGCCCGTGTTCCCTCCCGCGGGCTGCCCGCGTAGTCTCAGCAACCCGCTAAAGAGACGCCGAAAATAACCCCCGGCCACAAGTGCTTTCATTCCCACAACAGGTGTGTTACTAAGTTAGACCGCACACGTGTCCCCAGCTGAGGTTTGGGGGCACACGCGAGCACCCCTGTGGCTCCCGCGGCCCCGTGGCCTGGCCGGGGGTCGTGCTGGGATGCGGAACCCGACAAACAGCCCCTCCTGCCAGCCCCTCTCCCCGCGGGTGTGGATGACGCGTCCTGACAGCTCTGCGGCTCGGGGACACGCCGGGCACCAGAGCTGGGCCAGCAGCGTCGCAGGCCATGGATGACACCCCAGAACGTTCTGCCAGCTCCTGCTCAGATCCTGGGGGCTGCCGGGGTCACTGCTGCAGAGTTCGGCCTGTCCTGACCGCGGTCGCTCGCAGACAAACTCTGAGCACGGCCCTCGAGCCCTTACGCGTGCCAGCTGCGGCCAGAGGCTTTGACGGAGCGTCGGCTGGTGACCGAGCGCCCAGCATGTTCCGGGCCCTGAGTGAGCCCAGCAGCATCTCACAGCTCCGTCTCCGTGCAATTGCCCTTGGCGCTAGGTGCTGGGATGACCACCATTTTACAGGCGGGGAAACTGAGGCTCAAGTGGTAGTACCTGCTCGAGTCACCCTACCAGGAGAGGTGGGAGCTGGGCCTGCCCTTGAGGCGGCCGAGCTACTGATGTGCTGTCGAGATCTGACCTTCTCACGACCCTGGGGTCTGTCTTATCCACCATTTTGTGGTGGGGAAAAGGGAGCTCAGAGAGGCCGCCACCTGCGCGAGGCTGCACAGCTTGTGAGTGCAGGGCTGGGTGTGACCTCGGGACTGCCCCCTGCTCTCCTGCGCCTGCCCGGCCCCCTCTACTCTGAGCGGGAGGCAGGACTAACGGACAGCCTGGACACATCGGGGTGTGCAGGCGGCGGGGGAAGCGCTGTGGCCTTCCCGGGGGCAGAGGGTGCCGGGGTGAGGGCCTCCCAGGAGGCCGCGGTTTTTGTTATTTTACTTACAAAGACAGACCATAGACCATTTTAAGCAGCCATGAAAACGGCCATGGGGCAGGGACATCGTGGGCCCGTCCTCTCGATCTGTAAGCAAAATAAGAAAAACACGCTGTCAGGAAAGCGCGGGTAGGTGGGCAGGGCCGCCCTGGGGGGCGCCTGTAGCCGGCCCCTCCCCCTCTGCCTCTTGACAGCAGTTTTGGGGGTCGGGACTCAGTCACCACCTCGGGCCAGTCCATTCCCTTCTTTGGGCCTCAGTTTCCTCCACTGTAAAATAACGGGCTTGTTTGGGCGGGGGGTCTCCTAGGGTCACTTCCAGAAGGATCTTCTAGAAGTCTACAAGAATTCTGGTGTCTCCACCGACATGGTGTCTCTACCCCCGCTTGGCACTATCCTCAAGGGACCTGAGCCCAAGCTCATAGAGCTTGAAGTCTCCATTGACAGACAAGCCAATGATGGGTCCAAAGCAAAGCCCAGGATTGAGCCACCAGGAAGGGAGGAAGCACCAGACAGGAAGAGGTTCAATTGTCTGAGCTGGAGTTAGTAGGCAGAAGCTGCAAGAAGATAGACTGTGTCCAGACAGTGAGCCCCCCGTCACAGGGGGTAATCAAGGATAGGATGGGCCTTTGAGGGTCTTCCCAGCTGCTGAGTAGCTCCTCAAATTCCTTCCCAGAGTCACCTCAGCCATCCCCACCACCTCCAGAGTCCAAACCCCCAGTGAATCTGTGCCCAGGGCGGTCATCAGGAAAAGCCACAGTTCAAGCCACGGTTCACGGCCAGTCTCCAGCTGGCTTAGCTCACAGGCCGGTCCTGGGGAAGCTGGGGGATCTCGGGGCAGGAATCCAGCGCCCACCAGCCAGGTGCACGGCGTAGGGAACAAGTCTGAGGCCCCTCTGAGGAGGCCAGAGACCCAGGAGCCCGACGACATTGACGTGTCAGCTTAGAAAAGAACCAGGGGTCTCCTGTAACCTCCATGCTCCAGATGAAGCCGGAGCCTCCACTCCAGAAATGTGAGGCCGCGGTGCTGTGGGTGTGTGTGTGTGGGGGGGGGGGCTCAGAAAGGCCAGTGGGGGGGCCCTGAGCCATACACAGGCCCCATCCTGTCCCTGACCCGGAACACCTTGCTCCCAGACTGTGCTTTCTAGAACATGGGTCCTGGACCAAGAAGGAAAGGAGACGTGTCCTTGACACTTGGGTGACCCGCTCAGAGCCTTGGGTCAGACCGGCCAACAGCCTGCTCACCGCTCTGGCCTGGAGCCCGACGCTGGAGGGTGGGGGGTCATTCGGGTGGATGCCCGGGGTCTAGTTTTTTCGGAGCTGCTAGTGGGGCTGGACTTCCCCTCGAGGCAAAAGGGGTCAGGTAGATAGCTGTCTGGTGGATGGATGTGACCCGGCCGGACAGAGGCTGTGTGAGAGGAAGGCTGGCTGGGCCCCGGCCCTGCCTGCCACGGCCACGCAGGCAGACCCCAGGCCTGGGCGCCGAGGGCCACCAGTGTGCAGTGGCCCCCGCCAGGCAGGGGGCAGGGCCAGGCGTCACGTCAGTCCCCACTGCTCACGGGGACCTGGCTCAGCCTTGGCTCCGTAGGAAGATAAGCGGGAACCTCCCAGGGCAAGTGAAGGTGCAGGGAAGGGCTCCTGTGTGCGCTGGGCCGTCCCCGCCCCGAGGCGGCACACCTGGGGCCCGTGGCATCGAGCCACTTGCCGGACCACAGCTTGGAGAGGTCAGGAGACTGGCTCAGAGCCCGACCCTGGACTTGCGTTTCCTGGCTCCACGGCCAGCACCTTTCTCCAGACGTAGGCTGGGTCACCCCCAAGCCCTAAGAACCCCACTGCCCGGCCTCCAATGGCAGCACCAGTACTGCTCACAGGCGGGGAAAAAAGGCACCGGGCCAGACCGTGCGGTCCGGCCTGGGCTCGGGGGTGGGCGGGAGGGTGTCCGAGGGTCTTACATCGTGCTGGACGCTGCAGTCTCCCTCTTAGAGATGGGCTTCACTCGGGTTTCAAAGTCTGGGGAAGGGCCCCCAGGTCTGGGGCTTTCCGGCCTCCGAACGTGGGGAGGAGGCGGCATGTGGATTCCCTCCGCTGCTGGCATACTGCCAAGCCTGGGCCCCAGGGCCCCGAAGTCACGGTGTCCCCCGTTTCTCTGACGAGGGAACAGGCCTCCAGTGAGTGTGTGGATGGCGGAGGCCACACAGAGACGCTGCGTGTCCCAAGAGGCTCAGCTCGGGGCCAGGGACACGCTGCCCAAAGGTCCAGTCTGCCCACCACACCCCTGCAGCTGAGGCCGGGGCTGAGCCTGGGGCCTGGCCACCCTCACCCCCACCGCAGCCAGGCGTGGAGCCCAGCGCCACCTCTCGTGAGCCCTCAGGGAAGGTGCTGTGTGGCTGCAGGGACCCCCGGTCCCTCTCTGAGCTCCAAGTAGAACAGCAAAGTTTGAGAAAACACGCACGATGTGCAGGCCACTCGGTAAAAGCCTGCACTGACTCACTTGATGTCACAGCAGCTCCGTGAGTCGGGGACTGTGGCCACCTGCCCGAGGCCACACAGCCACCAAGTGGACGAGCGAGGATCTGAACCTCCACACTCAGTCTCTGAGCCACGGTGAGCTCCTCCCTCTCCAGGACCCGGCGCTGGGCGTTTACGGGTCCGGAGAGGGCCCCCAGCACAGGCCTCGATTCACCGTAGCCCCAAACAGCGCGGCGCACCCAGTGCCCCCCAGGGTTACTCACTTGTGTGGGGCGTGAACGAGGGGAGCCGAGTGGCCCCCTGGGACGCGGCGGGCGGCGGGGGCGGCATGCTGGGGGGCGTGGAGCGGGGCTGCGTCTTCACCTCGGCCGGAGAGTCGGGCATCGCTGCTGCCTTGTCCTTCCTGTCCACTGCAGGGGGCCACGGGGCCACGGGGGAGGGGAGAAGAGAGAGAGGTGGTGAAGCAGAGAGGGGAGGGGAGGGAGCCGCACTGGGTTTGGGCCTCCGCCACGGGGCCCAGGTGGAGGACCCCCAGCCGATGGCCAGGTGGCTCAATCCCAGGGCCCAGATAAGCCCCAGCTGTGTTCCCAGGTGGCTGACGGCCCGCCCACCTGGGATCAGAGGTCAGGCCTGGGTCATCCCCTTTCAGGTGGGCCGGGGGGTGGGGGGAGGATGTAGCTGGGAGAATTCAGCCCAAATGGGGCTGGGGACCCAAGCTGGGGAGCTTGGGTTTGCTGCCCTGGGGACCAGGGGGTGGCATGTTCCCCCACCCCCCGCCCTGAGGCAGCGGTTCGCATCCCCTGGAGGCGCAGTCAGAGATGTCAGCCTCCCGCCCCCGCCTCTGATGCGACAGCAGGTCTGGGGAGCCTGCATTTCTAACAAGGTCCCAGGCGCAGCAGCTGCAGGTGTTGGGGCCCCACTGGAGCCCCGTCAGCTCTCAGATGTGAAAACTGTCATCTGGGTGTGGGGGGTCTTCCCCGGAAGGTCTGGGAGGCTGACCCCAGGCGGTGGAAAACCCCTGCGTAACCACCTGCGGGCCTGGGTAATTCCTGGGCCCCGCAGGCCAAGGACGCGGTCAATGTCAGGCTGTACGAGGCCTGGCCACTCAGCGTGGGCTCCGCAGGGCAGCGGGCTGCGTGCCCCTGGACACTGTCCAGGTTGCCATGTGCTGGGTGAAGCTCTGCGAAGGGTCAGGTGTGGACACGGGGGACGGGGACGGGGCTCCTCCTCAGCAGGGCCTTGAGGAAAGCGCCTGGGTGAGTGTGACCGGCCACACAAAGCCTGAGCCAGCCAGCGGGACATCTGCTCCGCTCTGCAACCACCCCCCCCGCCTCAGGTCAGGCAGGGCGGCTCGGACACCTCGGAGCGGTGGCTGGGGCTTGGGGCGGCCATGCGGGCCGGCCGCCTCTACCTGCTGCAGCCCAGGCTGCCCCAGCTCACCCTGCTGACACTGAGGGGGCTCACCCAGGGGCGGGGCCGCGGCCAGGGCTCCGCACCCATTAGCTGTCCCCGTGTGACTACATCTCACGCCCCCTCTCCCAGGGTCCCCACGGGACCAGGACAGACAGACAGAGGCACCCGTGCGCCCGGGGCAACCAGCCTCTGGGGGTCGGTGACTAATAACGCTAACAAACGGCGTTTACCGTTATCCCGTGCCCCATATGGCGCGGCCCCCGTCTCCCCTTCACAGGGCACCCGTGGGGCCGTGCCAGCCCTCTGCGCTCTGCGCTCTGGCCCCGCTCGCGGCCAGTCAAGAGGACGGCTCCCCACCGGGCCCCATGGAGCAGGAGGCAGCCGGTCACTAGCAGCCACCGGGCCACGCCGCACCTGCTGCCCACTCAGCTGCAGCCGCTGGCCTGCCTCCCGCCGGGCGCCCTGCCCCCCGCGCCCGCCTGTCGGGAAGCTGACGGCCGCGCACACGTGCACTGCAGCTGTGGGGCCCATCAACGGCGGCCAGTCCCCGGTGACAACCAAAGAAGGCAAAGGCAGCGGCCACCGCGGGCCCCGGGCCGCCCTGCGGGGCGCAGACCCACGCCCTCCGCCCTTCGTCTGACAGGTCGCCCGGGGCGGGGTCTGGGGGGCGTTTCGGATGCCAGGCTGGGACACGGGGGACACGTGGCCTGTTCCCACTCTCCGAAGCCCTTCCCACGGGGGGCTCCGTCCCGGCCTCGCCTGCAGGAGGGGCAGAGGGAACCTGCCCGGGCAGCCCGCCCTGGGCATGGAGGCCCCACCGCCTTTGAGCACCTGGCTCAGGGACACGTGTGTCCCGTGGATGCACAGTGGCTCTGAGGAGGGGTCACAGAGGAGACACGCCAGCATTCACGGCTTGCTCTCCGCCCTGAAGCCCTGGGGGTTGGGGGTGCTGCCGTCGCCCTGATTCACAAGCACAGAGACGAGCGGCCTCTGAGGAGGGCGCACAGCACGCAGGGCCACATGGTCTGCGGGACTCGGAAGGGCCTCACTGTCCGCACACACCCTTCGGAAGAGGCCGCAGGGGCGGGGCGGGGCGGGGGTGGCAGGCGCACAGCCCGGGCCTCAGGAGTCGCCTGGACCGGCCGGCTGTGCGAGCCCCTCACGCTCCGGGCCTCTCTGTCCCTACAGGCGGGGTAGCGCCTGGTGAACTGCGGCAAAGGCTTTGGAGCAGCTTGGGTGCCAGGACCCCGCTGTCACGGCCGCCTTCAGCACAGGCCGCAGCCCAGAGAACAGGCCCTCGGGGAAGAGCAGTGGGGTGTGGTGCTGAGGAACAGCATTTGTGCTGAGGGAACAGAGAGTGCAAGGGCCAGAGGCAAGAGTGTTCAGGGAGCCTAGGTGAGAATCAGCAGGAAGGAGGGTCGGCCGGGCGGCGCCGGCGCACGCGGGCCGACGGTGTGGGCAGCAGGGAGCACGCGGGCTCCTCACGCGCCCCAGGCCACCGCCCCTGCCCCTCCTGGGCCCCATCCACCACGCCACCTCCTCGCCCCTCCTCCAGCGCCCAGGGCGCCCCCACTCTGAGCCCTGCACACCTGCCTGGAACGTTCTTTCCCTCCTGGTGGCTCAGCTTTGACCTCCCTTCCTCAGGAGAGGGGACCCCACGCTTCAGATCGGAGGAGGCAGGGCTGCACCCGCCGTGCTCACACCGTCAGTTATTGTTAGCGGTTATCATCTCTTCCCCGTCCCTGAGTCCCCAGCTTGTGTGGGGGCTTCAGCCCGACCGGCCCCCAGCCCGACTGGCCCCCAGCCTGACCAGCTGCCACACAGGGGTGGCCTCCTCCTGGCACTGGCTTCCTGCCCAGCCCCCTCCCAAGGCCCCACGCCGGGTCAAGGGATGCTCCTTGGTCGCCTGAAGACCCTCATCAGGGCTCCGACTCCCCGAGGCTACCCCGTGGCCGGGCTCAGGGTGCAGGGCTGTGGGGGGAAGGGCCCCACCAGCGATGCCGGGTGCTGGCATCCCGCTTCCTACCCAGGTTGCCAAGGGGGCCGGTGAGGGCTAGACAGCCTGCCTCCCGGATGCCGCCGAGACCTCCCTGGTTCTCAGCCCCCCCGCACCCCTGCCCAATGCGTCACCCCAGGCTCCACACGCTGGAGTCCTCACACCTTCCCCAGAACGCACGTCAGGGCCCCGGGTGTCACGTCGACTCCCCAGGGTCACCTGGTCGGCCCTGCCCCTGGCACGCCCCCTGGGCCATCCCGCCTTCTGCTCTTCTGATTCGGGGCTGATTAAGGCTCTCAGCCTTGGCGGGGGCTCCCCTCCAGGGGCCTCTGGTTCGGCAGATCCAGTCACATTGCTTTCTCATGGCGTGCGTGTACGTAATCTTTATTTTAGAGAGAACATGTGCAGGGGAGGAACAGAGAGCATCCCCAGCAGGCCCCACACGCAGCTCGGAGCCTGCGCGGGGCTCAATCCCACAACCCCAGGACCATGACCTGAGCCAAAACCAAGAGCTGGACCCTCAATGGCCTGAGCCCCCCCCCCCCCCCACAGGCTTACCGTGTGCTGCACGCGTGTTAGCCTGCCCGGCCCGCAGGTCGGGGGAAGCAAAGTGACCCCGAGGACGATTTTTATTAGGGATCCCATGTGATAACAGAAGTCCGTGATCTGTTTTTAGATAATGAGACCGACACTCAGAGAAAACAAGTGCCGGGCTCAGGGTCTCGGAGCCGGGGGGGCGATCGGCCGGTCGATCGGAAAGTTCTGAAGCCACAGCAGCCCGGGCCCTTTCCCAGCTGCCCCGGGAACGCCACGTGGGCCTCCCAGAACCCGAGGGACGGCTGTCGGGGGTTGGAGGCCACCGTCCCGAGTCCCAGCTCGGGCAGGTGAGTGTGAGGACCGACTTCCTGGCTGCGGGGAGCCCCTTCTGATCTCGGGGGGCCCGGGAAGAAGAAATGAGACCCGGCCAGCAGCGTCCCTGTGAGCCCCCCACCCCCCGTCCCGTCAGCAGCGAGGGCCGAGGAGTCACCGGTTCCCCCCCAGCCCCCCTGCCAGGCCCAGCCCCGTGGGCGCAGACACCTGTCTCAGCGGAGCAAGGGTCCGGCCACACGAGCGGAAGAAAGCACGGGACCCAGGGAAGGGATGCGGAGCCGTGTCACCAGATGCCGGGGTTCACCAGCACCCCTGCGGCCCCACACAGCGTCTCGGCCGGAGCCGTGGCCTCGTGCTGACCAGGCGGGGCAACCGTGGGAGTGGCAGCCCCTCAGCCCGTGGGCCCGGCGCAGAGGCAGGCGGGCGGGGCGGGGAGCCGGGGAGCCCAACGTGCGTGGAAAAGCACATTCCTTACAGGAAGGGCCCAGACCGCCGGCTCGTGTGACCTTCCCACAGCCCTCCGACGCTCTTCTGGTCTCCACTTACGGATGGGGAAACCGAGGCCCAGGGAGGCCCGGTGACCTGCTCAGCTCACACAGCTGCGTGGGGGGCTGGAAATGACCTGGGCAGCTCGTCCACCTGCCCACAGCCTGCAGTGCCCCCCTCTTCCCATTGGCTGTCCACTCCCCCCCCTGGGGGCTCTCCTTTGGCGGCTCCCACCCTGCACGCTGGGGGCTGGGGCCTGGCGTGGGCTGGGCGTGCACGAGTCGGCTCAAGCCTGGGCGTCCCAGCAAGCGGAGGAGCCGAAGGCGCGGCGAGCAGAGGCCTGAGAACATTCCCAGACCTCAGCCCGCACGCCGCAGGCCCAGGGGACACCCAGTGTCTTTCCCAGACAGTGTATCCAGTCCTCAGCTGATCTCTAATCCGTCCACAGAGGAAGCAGCTCTCCGAGGCCGGGTGGAGCCGGTGGGAAAGAACATGGAATGTGCCGGAACAAGCCACCCCATCCATCACTGTCCCTGTCCGGCTGTGGTTCCCAGCCCTCCCGGCCTGGCTGAGAACTGGCCACAGCCCAGAGCTCCCAGCCCTGGGCTTCTAGAACCTTCCTCTGTCTGCCTCAAGTCTATTGCT